TTGAAATACCGTTATTTTAATAAAAATACATCATGTATCCTAACAAGTTATTGCCATTTAAAAACAAATTAATACATTTTTAAAAATTTCTCAGTTTTTATTCTCATGCGGTAACTATTGAGAGACATAACCCACATCCATGAAAACTTCTGGGGGTCTTCAATAATTTTAAGAGTGTAAAGAGGTCCTGAAACCCGAAAAACTGAGAACTGCTGATTTATATCTAATAATCTACTCTACATGTGTACTCTCTCTCCATCTTTTAGGTTATAAAATTACAGTTTTTAATAGGTCAAAAATGTTTGACCATCAGAAATCACGTTTCAACCTCATATATTATGAAATCTAAGACATCACTGTTTGTAAGTTGCAGTATTAAGAATCAGTAAGAATGGAAAAAAGAACGTCAATTATAATCCCTAGATACCATTGGCTATAAAACCCATTCCATTTTCAGAAACGATCAAATGGTGAAAAAATGTGCATGAATGAAATAAGACAAACATCGCCGTCTCTCTAAATAACCCTCTATATAGTCTTCCATCCATTCAACAAATATTTATTGGCCACCTACTCTGTGCCAGGCACTGCTCCCAGCACTACACAGGGAAAGGTCCCCTTTCATCTTTACAACCACACCATGTGGGAGGCCCTATTATGATGCCCATTTTAGAACTCAGCAAGCTAAGGCCCAGAGAGGTTGTCGGAGTCACACAGCAAGAAAGGGGCAGAACTGAGTTTCTGAATCCAGACAATATGGTTCCAGACCGGTGTTCTGGATCATGCTATAAAAGCAATGACTAAGACAGAGTGAAATGCCTGCCCTCATGGAGCTGACAGTTCAGCAGAAAGTGAACAAGATAAAGAAAATATGAAGCACGGTGGATGGCGGTTTCCCTCTTTCTGTGTGTGTTTACTCCTTTCATCCACTGTCTTCTATCCTCTCTCCTTCAATACTCCATTTGCCAGGCTACGCTGCTCCCTGCCCCCGCTGGGGTCTCATGGCACTGCGGGTACTGCTCCAGGAGCAGTGGGTCCTTTCTCATCCCCTGTCACTGTAAGCATCTGCAGGTCCCAAGGTCCAGAGAGAAAAGGGACACTCTGGGAGTCAGGGACAGGTGGCACTCAACCCATGTCTGAGTTCTAGTGGAGAGACTCTCCCCTCTTTCTTTCACATGTCTGTCCACGTAGCAATTTTCTCTCAGGTCTTTTTGAATCTCCCTGTTGGTTCTGTGTGTGTCTGTCCATCTCCTTCCTTGTCTCAGCACCTTTATACTCCTTCCCTTCCCCTCCCCATGTTTATCTGCTCCCCCCAACCCCATCTTTCCCTTTCCCATTCTGTCTCTCCTTTCTCTCTCCCTCTGTCTCTCTCTACCCCATTTCCCTCCCATCTCCCATCTCTCTTTCTCCTTCAGCACACCTTTGTATATATCTGCTTCCTTTCCTCAGTATCACCCTCTCCCCAGAAATCTCACATTGAAATTGGAGTCCCAGCTACTCCCCTCACCTCCCCCCATGCACTGGTCTCCCCCATGGTTGGCTGGTTCTGCCCTCTCCCCAGATTAAGAGAAGAGATGAAGGGAGAAGGTGATGGATTCAGGGGGGTCTACAGAGAATTCCTAAATCCCTCTATAACACCCCCCTCCCAATTTTCCAACTCAGTCAGACTCTCTTGTATCGCAGAGGAAGACAGACTGGGACCCCGGGGCCCTCTTTTTCTGGCTACCTACCCACCCACCCGGAAGTCCTCCTGGAGGTCTGACCTCCAGACTCCAGCTGCCCTAATCCACCCTAGGCTTTCCCACGCCCCGGGGCTGGGATGAACCCCCAGTGTCCGGGTCTGAGCCGGATTTCCCGGCCAGGGTGGGGCTGAGATTGGGGGGGAAAGCTCTCAGGGGACCTGCACCCCCACCCCAGGAGGCTGAAATTTCTCCCCTTTCATTTCCTTATTGTCTCTGGAGGAGAGTGTGACAGAGTAGAGGGAGGCAGTGTGAAGCCAGAAGCCTAGTGTCTAGCCCCAGTCTCCGCCCAGGACCCCAAGAAGCCCCCAACACTCCAGGAGGCTTCAGGTTTTCCCTCTCTGAAGTGGGGGAACAGTTGGACCAGCTGATCTGTGAGAACTGGAGGCCAACGGGGCCACCCCAGGGTGATACCTTCAATTTCCTTCCATACAGGGAGCCAGCCTGGGGGTGTTAACATCACCCCAGCAGGAAGGTGTGGAGGGCAAGAAACACTTTGGGGGGTCCTCACAGTTCTCAGTAGCTGAGTGAGTGCGAATGCTTCTCTCCACCTTGTTCCAACCCAAGGGGAGGAGGTGGCTCAGCTGATGGAAAGGCTGGGGAGACCCTCAGACAGTAGTTCCACCTCCAGTCCCCCATGTCAACTCTTCCAAAATACGCCCCAAAATGCTGATCATCTCTAGACTCTCTCAATTTCTGACACAATTTGTGCCCCAAAATAACGACTCCTCCATCCTAGATCCCCATAATTTACTTCTTAAGATGTGTCCCCCAAAACATTAACTTGGAGTTGGTTCCCTTAAATCATGTCCCCAGACTCTGAACTCTCTGGAGGTTCAGCTGGGATGCCCCAATACCTGGGAGCCTTCACCTCCAACCTGGTCTCTGCCTTCTGACACCTCCAGCTGCCGATCTCCACCTCTCAAAACTTCCAATTCCCTCCCTGGTCGACCTGCCCCACCCCACGTGCACCTCACACCTCCACAGCCCCAGGACTGGCCCCTCCCGGGCACCATGCCAAGCCCCGAAGGCCTGGGGATCCGAGAGTCCCACACAACGGCATCAAACCCCAGACCCAGGACTCAGACACCTGGGAACCCTGTAACCCCCAGATCTCAGTCTCTTTGAAGAACTCGGGCATTCACACTCCCCCGCCTCAAGCCCACAGTCCCCTTCCAGGTTAGGAATTTAAGGGTCCAGATCCCCATAATCCTCCAACTAGGACCCCACTGCCCCCTCCACTTCACAATGTTGAGTATAGAGACAGCGAGCCAAGAAGGAGTCCTTGCAACAAGAGGAATGGGAGTTAGACCTGGGGAAGGGCTTTCTGTCTGCTGGGGTGAGGGAAGCAAGACATACCCTGCCCCCTACTCCAGGGTGGTCTAGTCAGAGATGGGGCTAGTGAGGACATTAGCAATTACTGGAGATTACTGGAAGGAGGGTAGGGAGGTGCGAAATCTGAAACTCTACAGCCTCCAACAGAAGAATCCCTGCTGAGGGTCTCTAACAACAATTAAAGCTGTGAAGTTCAGTTGGAAGGGGTGAGGGTCAGGAGTGGGGGTGGGGGTGGGGAATGGAAATCGACCCCTCCACTGCCCTCCGGCTTCCAACTCCGACCCTATCTGGGTCCCCATGTATCCGAACCCCAACTCTAAACCACCTGTTATTTCAGACTCCCAAAACCAACCTTCATCTCTTATCCCTGAGCACTAACCCTTATTTCTGACCTTATCTTAGATCGCACCCTGATCCTTATCCCTGAACCCCAATGCTTAACCCTATATCCTAACCCTGAGCTCTCACCTCAGATTTCCCTTAATGGTGACCTCCCTCTCCCATATCTTAGTTCTTGTCTTTTCCCCCAATTTTGAACCCATTTCCTAATCCCCCAGCTCTGTCTCCTATGCTGGAGGTCTGAGTCCTAGCTTTGGTTTGTTCATTTTAATCCCTGGTATTTGGGGTCACCAACACCCAGCTCTCACGTTTAATCTATGACCTGACCCTTGCCCAAGTTTTTCTGACTCCCATTTTTCCCTCACTCCGACTAGCCTGGGGAAACCGCGCTCCCATGCCTGTCCCCCGTCCCTGAATCTTACACACCTGGTCTCCGTGTCTCTGGTTCCTTTACTCCTCAACTCTAGTTGGAGCCCCCATTTGAGCCCACACCCCAGTCCTTGTCCCCATTTAAGCCCGCACCCTGATTCCTACCCCCCACTTCCCGCTCCGCCATCCCCGAGGACACACCTCGCCGGTCTCCGGGTAGTAGCTCCACTCCGCCAGGTCATGGGCCTCCATCTTCACGGAGCCCAGCATCCCCCGGGCCTGCGCCCCCACCTGCCCCCGCTCCGGCCCGGGGGGAACCGAGCGCTAAGGATCTCTCAGCGGCACGGCCCGAGTTCCAACCGGCGCCCGCCCGTCCGACTGCCCAGGGTCCCAGCCGTCCCAGGCGCCGCGGGAGGCGTCCACGCTTTATAGCCAGGACACCCCCAACCCCCGCCCTCGCCCGCTCCGGGCTCCCCTCCCGCCTCTCCCTGGGCGGCGCGCTCGGACTGGGGCGCCCCCTGCGGGATTGCGAGGAGATAGACCTCAGGCGCCGGGAGCCGCAGCCCGGGAACGTGAGAGCTGGAGATGGCTGAAGAGTGAGGGAGCTGCTGTTGGGAGACACTGCTGATGCTAAGGTCCCCGAGATCAGAACTCTGGGGCCCTCTACCCCAGGAGGGTCCATCATTTGACAGTAGAGGGCGAATAGCCAGAGCCCAGCATGAACGTCGCGGAGGAAAAGGGCCTTAGAGCGCAGTGAACTCCCTGGGTCCAGATATGCCTCTGTACGGACCGGTAGGAGGTCCTCGAAACCACATTCCCACTGGATGGACTGGAATACTGAAGCTTCCGACAGCTAGAAATACTCCGAACTGTGTAAATGGTCAGGACCAAAGGTGTAGGATATCGGGACTTCTGTTCAGACTCCACTAGGACAACAGACCACCTCCAAGACCGAGGAGTTTCGCCGCCAGTACTCTCCACTCTCTCTCTAATACCAGCCGTCCAGGGACTCAGAACCACTGTGAACTCCATTTCCCAGAAGTCTCTGTCTCCCTTCCCGTCCCAAGCCTCTGCCAAGGGACTATATTTCCCAGAAGGCACGGCGTTCGAAGGCCGGAAAGGAAGAGCCACCCGGAGTAGTCCGGAAGGCTGCTCACCGGGCTAGAAATGGGGGTGAGGGTCGGCCTACTGTGTGGACTCCATTTCCCGGCGACCCAGCGTGTGCGGCGCGTGCGCAGTGTCACGGCGGCGAGCGGAAGATGGCGGCGGCGGCGTCTGGGAAGAGGCGCTGCTGAGGGGGCGCGAGGGGGACGGAAGCCGGAGCCGCGGTGAGCGGGGTGGCGTGTGGGCCCGGGGACCAAGGGAGGAGGGGTCCTGAGGCGGCAGGGGCGCTGGCAGAAGGGTGGGGGCCCCTCGAGGAGAAGGGAGCAGTGACGCTTGGCACTCCAATTTCTTTCCCTGTTCAGGACCCTCCCGTGGGTCCCACTAGTGCCCTTAGGGCAAAGTTCCAACGTGGCCCCCAAAGCGCGTCCGCCCCGCCAGCCTTGGCTCTGCCTCTGCTCAGCCTCTGCTCATTCCTCACTTCGAATAGCTGCATTGGCCTTTCGGTTCCTCAAACTGGCCATGCGCCTTCAGGCCTCAGGATTTTTGCACATGCTGTCTCCTCTGCCCGAAACATGCTTTTACCTATTCTGCCTGGCTAACTTCCATTCATCTTTGGGGTCTCGGCACCAACGTCACTTCCTCTGCGAAGTCCTCCTTTCCTGCCCTCCATCCCGAAATCCGCCTGTTAAATGTTCTCAGAGGTCCCTGTTCCTTCATGTCAAATGTGGTCTCATTTATTATTGTACCGTGTTTGTTTGACTATTTGATTCTGTCCACGGAGGCAGGGACTGGGTTGGTTGTGCTGTCGCTGCTGTGTCCCCAGCACAGCGCCGATCACACTGAAGACACCCAATTAATATTCGTTGAATGAATGAAAGATACTCCTGGGGCCATTGTGTATGTGAGGGGAGTCATCATGCTCCCAGGTGGGAGGGAGGCAGTTGTACTCCATAAGGAGTACACCGGAAAGGAAGGGGAAACAATGACTGTTGGTAATCGCAAAAGATTACAAACACTCCAAATGTTCTTTAATAGGAAGACTGGCAGAAAAAAAACTGATAACATCCCACATAACAAAATACTATGCAGCTGTAAAAAGGAACAAGGAAAATCTCTGTACACAGAGACAGTGGACTCCAGCATACATTAAGTGAAAACAAACAAAAAGGAAGACGGTGTTTAAAATATGCTCTCTTTATAAAAGAAAGGGAAATATGTATATTAAAAAATTATAAATAAAAAAGTGGAAGGACATGGTAAAAAAATCTTGGTGGATCTTAATGTATTATCATCATAAAAAAAAAGGTTCATCATGAAAAGGTTCATTATGTTCTGATGGGGGACAGCGGTATGCTGGTTGTTAGGGTGACCGTGGCTTGGATGAACAGACCTGAAATGGAGAAGCAGTTCCTTTCAGAGAGGCAGTACAGCACAATGGTAAGGAGGATAGATTCCGCAGCCATACTGCTAGGTCTGCGTCTTCTAAGCTGTGGGCCCTCGGTCAAGTGACTTTACCTCCCTTGGCCTTCAAATGTCCTCATTTGTAAAATGAAGATTAAACATAGGACCTACCTCAAAGAGTTGGTGTTGTGAGGTTTAAATAAGTTAATATGTAAGAAGCGTGCCCAGTATGTATTAAATATTCAATTAATAATAGCTGTTATTTTTCAAGTGTTCTAGAGCCAAAGGGCAGGGATACTCTAAGCCCAGTGATTGGGGAAGCCCTTTGGCATTCACTCAGCTTATAATAATTGAGCACTTATTAGGTACCAAGCACTGTTCCATACCGGAGAAATACAAAGTAAACACAGACACACAGAAGTCCTTGCCCTCGGGGAGCTTACAAATAGGTAGTGTGTAAATGGTAATAAATGCCATGGAGAAAAATAAAGCAACACAGAGGGGGAGGGAAAGGAAATTGAAATTTGAAATAAGGTGGTCAAGGAAGACCTCACTGTCAAGGTAGTTGAGCTGAGACCTGAAGGAAATGTGGAGGGAGAGAGTTGTGCCAATACCTGGGAAGAGGAGTATTCCAGGCAGAAGGAAGAGAAGCACAGAGGTTTTGAAGAAGGGGCATGCTTGGTATATTCAAGGGACAACAAGGAGGCCAGAGTGGCTGGAGCAGAGGGAGCTGTGGGCAGAGGTAGAAGGGGCCAGGTCATATAAAGTCTTCTAAGCGTTGGTCAGGACATTGGCTTTGACTCCAAGATGTGGGGGTGACAGGCAGCAGGGATACTAGGAAGAACGCTGTTGGATAGTCATTCATTCTGCAGACACCCTCCTCAAATTTTTAGCAGTGTATGCAGTATCATTCAGATCTTTTCTCATGTACATAAAAATAGCAGCTGTACTTATGTTTAGTATGTATACTAACTCACCTACGTAGAGTCGTCCTGGGAGGTAAGCACTGTCAGCACCTCTGTCTCACAGAAAACTGACTCAGGTCACTCTGTGTATACATACACAAACTTGACAAACATGGATTGAACTGCACATGTTCTGTGATATAGCATGCTGTTGTGGACATCTTTTTATGATGATATTATGCTGAGATCCACTAAATTTTTTTTAACATTTCCTTCCTCTTCTGCATTTTGGTTTATCCTTTCAGTTTCTTTTCTTTCTTCTTTTTTTTGTTGAAACATATACACGTTTCCCTTTCTTTTGTAAAAATAGAGCGCACAGTAAACATTGTCTTCTACTTTGCTTTTCACTGAATGGATGCTGGAGCCCACTGATTATCAGTGTATAGAGATTTTCCTCATTTCTCCTTTTTCCCTCCCTCATTCTTTTTTATAGTTGCATGGTATTTATTATGTAGCTGTATCATACTTTTTCAGCCAGTCTTCCTATTTGAGAACCCTTGGGTTGCTAGTAGTCTTTTGCTCCTAAGATTAGTCCTATCTATGATTGATATCCTTCTTATTTCATAATTGTGCCACTGTGACTTTGGGACAGATGCCCAAAAGCTCTCCCTCTCCACCCCACCCCTTTTTAAAAACAACTCCATAGCATTCCAGAAAATGGCTGAAACATAATTTATTCAAGTAGGCCTTTTCTGATGTATTGAGTACTTACTGTGAGCAGAACTCTGCACTGGTGTTCCTCAGAGCTATGTTTTAGAAAGCCGGCTCTGGTGTCCAGTCCAGAGTACAGCCCAGATGGAGAGTCAGGAAGGCACTGAGACACTGAGGTAGCTGCTGTGTGTTCATTTGTTCCGTCATTCAGCACGTTTGTGGTCAGCCAGCTATGTGTAAAGCACTGGAGATGAGTACTCCACGAGGTACTGCCTCTGACCTGAGAGACATCAGTCACCCCCAAATTACAACCCCTGTGTACACTTACAGTCTGAGACAGACCCTGAAGTGGAGAGGGGCTGCAGAAGACCCAACAGAGACAGGACAGGCTGGAAAAGAGTGTGGAGCCCTTTGTGGATGGTGGGATGAAAGTTCCGGCCCACCCACAGGGGCCCAGAGCTCGATCTATCTTTTTCTTCTCCAGGGAATACTAGACAGCAGCCATGGCAGGCAGCAGCGGGGACAGCGTCACTCGCCGGAGCGTGGCATCACAGTTTTTCACACAAGAGGAGGGGCTGGGCATCGATGGCATGACCACTTCGGAGAGAGTGAGCTTGGAGAGAAGGGCTTGGAGTGGGGAGTCACAGCCCCTGTTGGGGTGGTCCACCCCCAGGCGGCAGAGCCCAGGGAATGCCAAGGGGGCTATGCTGGCAAGGCCAGCACCATCACTTGCCTCCCCACTCTTTCCAGGTGGTGGATCTCCTGAACCAGGCAGCGCTGATCACCAACGACTCAAAGATCACAGTGCTCAAACAGGTGCGGGATGGGGGTGATGTGGGCAAGCAGGACAAGGGGAGGGCGCGTGGGAACCTGTGAAAAAGAAGACGGTGGTAATGACACTGGTGTCCACATTGAAGCACTTAGGATATGCCTGCCGTGGTGCATGCTCTCGTTAATTCTCGCAAAAACTCTGTGAGGCAGGGCCATTTCATCCCCATTTTATTCAGAAAGAAGCTGAGCCTCAGAGCTTCAATAATTAGCCCAAGGTCACTCTGAGCTGGGACTTGAATGCTGGATTCCAACTCCACATCCTGTGCTCTTCGTTCTTGTATTTCTTCTCCGCCATGGTTCTGTCCTGGGGGAAGACATGCAGGTTGTGAGACTGTGAGGACCCAGAAGGAGCAGGGCTGGGCTGGAGGACCCAGGGGGCACCCCTGAGCCAGCCTAGGGGTGAGGAGTCAGGGAGGCCTTTCTGGAAAAAGGGGGATCTGAGCTGAGATGTGGAGGATAAGGAGAGAAGCTGACCGAGAGAGAGAGAGAGAGAGACTCGAAAAGAGGACACACACGCTTGCACAGAGGCAATGGAGGACGTGGGGAATTGGGGGCGGGGGTGGTGGTGCAGGTGTGGTTCACACCAGGAGACAGGTGCAGTTCAGAGGTTGAGGGGTCGAGTTGCCTGGGTAAGGACCCCAGTTCTGCTACTTGCTCAGAGTGTGTGGCCTTGGGGAGCTGACTTTACCTCAGCAGTAGACTCCCCTCGTTGGGGGAGGCATGGCTGTGAGGGCCATTCGACAACAGCACCTTGGGCTGTAAGGGCCAGGCCTGTGCCGGTGCTGGGCTTATATTAGAATGTCTGTGGGAAGGGCTCGTTCCAAAGAGCCTGGCAGGCACAAGGGCCTCGGAAACGGGTTCTCACTGTCATAAATGCCTGCAGAATTGTGGCAGAGTGGGGAGTCGGAGCAGGGGAGTGAGGAGAATTGACGGACGAGCCTCAGGAAGGCAGGAGTCCTGCAGCAGTTACTGCTTTTCTTTAGTCTCTTATGTATCATTCACCCACTGTCCACCAGGACCTGCGCCTTGTAGGATCTTATTGAAGCCTCACCACAGCCCTAGGAGTTGGTATTTAAGGTCCCATTTTCAGAAGACTCAGGGGAAGCCACTTGCCCAGCCCATGGTAGGGAGTGGCAGAGCCAGGATTTGAGCTGAGTTGATCTGCTGCCTACCCCTAAGCGCTTTCCTCCTCCACACTCCTGCCTGCACTGATTGGACCCTGGTTTTATCTGTGTGTTCCTCCTCCCCAATCTCCTTCCAGGTCCAGGAACTGATCATCAACAAAGATCCCACACTACTGGACAACTTCCTGGATGTGAGTGACGGATGGGAGAGTGAGGGAGGGTGTGGGTAGTGGGGTGAGGGGATGGATCCTGGTGCAACCCTGACCCCACCTTCTTCCTGACATTGGCAGGAGATCATCGCTTTCCAAGTAGACAAGTCAATTGAAGTACGCAAATTTGTCATCGGCTTCATCGAGGAGGCATGGTATGGGGTGGCGCAGGGAGCCCCTGGGAGACCCCAGTGGAGTCCTCCTCTTCAGCTCCCGGCCTGGCCCTGCCCTGAGAGTCCTGCTCTCCGCTTCTCAGACCCAATTCCCCGTCCCGTGCACAGACTCCCCAGCAAATGTTTAATAAGGCCGAAATCTTGGAGTCATCCATTATTTCCTTGCTTCTCCCACACTTCATACCTGCGTCATCAGTAAGGCCTGTTGGCTCTACCTGCAAAATGTAAACAGCATTTGACCATTTTCAGCCACTTCTCTTGCTATTACACTAGTCCAAGCCATCATTACCTTCCACTTGGATGGCTTCAGTCACTTTCTGTTGGGCCTCCCTGCTTCCACTGTCTTTTTTTTGTTTAATTGAAGTGAAATTCACAGAACATAAAAGTAACTATTGTTAAGTGGACAGTTCAGTGGCATTTAGCACATTCACAACCTAGCTCCAGAACATTTTCATCCCCGCAGAAGGCAGCGTCATCCCCATTCCCCGCTTCCTCTTACACATGGCAGCCAGAGTCATTGTGCCAAAAGGTAAATCCGATCTTGGCACTCCCTGCCCTGACCTCCACTGACCCACTGTCTCACTTAGATTGAAACCCAAACTGCTCCCTCTTGCCTCCTCTCCTGGCAGCCTCTCTGATTTTCACCCATATCTACTGGCTCCCTGGTAGTACCTCAGAAAAACAGCTGTTCTACTTCACAGCCTTTCTGCTGGCGGTGCCTGCAAGGGACACTCACCTCCAGGGAGCCACCTGGCCTCACTTCTCCCAATCTTCTTCCGTGAGCCTTTCCTGGCTGTGCCGGTATAGCCCCACACCTGACACCCCTTCTGCGCTCTTCTTTATAATGTTTTTTTGGAATTACCTTGATGCTTCTCTGCCCCACAGAAACATCAGTTCATGAGGGCAGGACTTCTCTGTATTGTGGACCACTGTATCCCAGTGTCTAGAACAGTGTTGGCACATAGGAGGGGCTCAATACGTATCTGGTGAACAAGTATTTATCATAATAGTAATCAGGTGGATTGCTTACTCTGCCACGCACTGTATTTAATCCTGTCCTCTGTTATCACCTGTAATCTTCACAGCAGTCTTTGGGATGGAGACTTTGTTTGCTTTCTTTTATAAAAAGGGAAGCTGAGACTTAGAACGTACAAGTAACTTGCTCAAGCTGAGACATTTTTTTTCATTAAACATTTACTGGATGCTTTGTGACTGGGAGGAAATAAAATAACCCCTATTTAGTGACATTTTCCAGTTTTCGGGCACCATACTAAATGCCCTTACCTACTTTGTTATTCGATCCTCCAAGCAACACTATGAATTAGTTGTTTGGCCTTTTTAACTGAAGATAAAACTGTGACTCAGAGGGGAAGTGAGTTTCTTAAGGTCACATAGCCAGTACGTGGCAGGATTGGGATTTTTTTTTTTTTTCAGCTGAGCCATCCTGCCACCTGTTGGCAGCTCAGCGGCAACTCAGCTCAGGCCGGGCATTGAACCACTGTTGCTCAGAGCTTGTAGGCTTGGGATTTTAACCCATGTCTGTAACACCATTGCCCAAATTCTCAGTCTCTAAGTTTTACTAGAAGAATTTGTGGTGACTTTTCTGAGCTTGCAAAAAAAATGTTTGTTCAACTGATATGTTACATGCCTGCTATCTTCCAGGCATTTATGTCGGGCTTTAGGAATAACAGTGAGGAAAACCAGATTTTGTTCCTGCTTGCATGTAGCTGACAGTTGAGTTTCATATTTTTTGACTCATTAGTTTAATATTTAATTTCAGATTATAACGTGCTTTGAAAGTGATATTCATGTTCTGGGCTCTAGGTGTGGCCTTGAATTTTTTTATTCATTGAACAAATATTTATTGAAGGCCTTTATTCTTTCCTTTAACAAACAAATGAGACTCTGCTAGTACTCAGACTGAAAAGGGCCCCCGCTTTCAGAGCCCTCAGACTTAGGTAAACAAACCAGTAAACAAAATTAGTGATTACATAAAGCAAAGTGTTTTAAAGTCATAATGGCTAATATTTCCTGAATGCTTTCTACACTGTTCTAAGCACTTTACATGTACTCTTGCAATTTTCACAACAAACTATGAGGTGTAGGTACTGCTCTAAATGAGACAAAGTTGGTTGTCCAGATTCACACAGTGATCTGGCTCTGCTGCCTCTTATGTGAACACAGGGCCCTAATAGAGCAAAGGAGTGGAGGTTGCATGAGCAACCTAGATAGAAGGTTCCGGGGCAGCTAGATCCAAAGGTGCCAGTTATTCCCAACTTCCGGATGTGCTGGCAAACAAGATAGGTGCAGTCCCTGATTTTGCCCACCTCCATTCCAGTCTCATGACACACTGACCCTGATTTCCCTTCCCTCGTGGACCCCAGGTTCCTTTCACCTACCCAAAGACCAGCTTGACCTTGCCCTTTTTTCCTCCACTCCCCAGTAAGCGAGATATCGAGTTATTGCTGAAACTGATTGCGAACCTCAACATGCTCTTGAGGGACGAGAATGTGAATGTTGTGAAGAAGGCCATCCTCACCATGACACAGCTCTACAAGGTGGCCCTCCAGGTAAGAGCTCCCTCCCCACCTGGCAGGTCTCATGTACGACTCATCTGTTAAGAATTCAAAACCAGAGTCAGATCAGCTTCTTTATGGGCAAGATGTGCAGTTGATCTTGGGGAAGAGACAGTGACGTGATCTAATGTCTAACAGTCAGGAATCGCCATTAACCCATACCTGTATCCATTGATTTATTTATTTATGCGTTTAGCAAACATCCCCCGAGTTCCTCCTCTGAGACCAAGATGGGCCAGTCCTGCCTTCATGGTGCTCATGGCCCAGTGAGTGTGACAGATTCTAATTAAAGAATCACAGAAATACTAATTATGGACGGTAGTCAGTGCTATAAGGAAGAGAGCACACTACTGTGTAATGTTCTTAGCATTAATAAAAAAATTAATCCATTTAATCTCTGCCACCACCTTGTGAGGTCAGCATTGTTATTCCTTTGTCTTAAGATCTGAGCCTTTTCTGGGTTCTCATTGTGAACCTCATGAGTGCAGGGCCAAACCTGACTTGGTCACCACAGGGTCCTGTCCTTAGTGTCACCTAGCACAGGGCCTGGGACAGAGTTGTAACTCAGTAAATGTTTCCCATGTGAATATATCCATTTTCACTTATGGACCTCTGGGTGGTGATAAGAGTTGGGGATGATATCTTGTTCCCGTTTCTCTGTCTGTCTGTCTGTCCATTCCTCCCTGGGCCGCTCCCAGTGGATGGTGAAGTCACGGGTCATCAGTGAGCTCCAGGAGGCCTGCTGGGACATGGTGTCTTCCATGGCCGGGGACATCATCTTGCTGTTGGACTCTGACAATGATGGTGTCCGCACCCATGCCATCAAGTTTGTGGAGGGCCTCATTGTCACCTTGTCGCCCCGTGTTGCCGACTCAGAGGTGCCCCGACGCCAGGAGCACGACATCAGCCTGGACCGAATCCCTCGTGACCACCCCTACATCCAGTACAGTGAGTGCCACCTGTCAACTGGTGCCCTTTGTCACTGCACCGACCCTCCTCCTCCTCTTCCTCCTTCTCCTCTCTTTCATGCTTTTTTTTTTTTTTTTAAGATTTTTATTGGGGAATTGGGGGGATGGGAACAGTGCTGGGGAATTGGGGAAAGGGGAACAGACAAGTTTCTGTCATTTTTGTTCTTCAGTCTAGTTGTGGAGGACGTTGCTTCACTGGCCCAAGTTGGCACCATCATTGCGCTCTTCCCTGGTGAGGCAGATCAGTCGCTGGCTTCTGGACGGCCGCTCACTGCGGCTGCTGGCCGCTCACGCTGGCTGCTGGCTACACACGGTAGCCCATGGCAACCCACTGCCACAGGGGCTGCAGCCTACGCCGTCGCCGGCGACTCATGGCAACCCAGCTCCAGGTTGAGCTGTTGTTCAGCATCTTAGCTGTAGAGGGCAGTGTCACTGGCCCTCATATGTGGGATCCGAACCGGGGCCCTCTGGCATCCCAAGCGAGTTCTTAACCATCGCGCCACTCGGCCGGCCCTCTTTCATGCTTTTTTAAAAAAAATATTTTATTGGGGAATTGGGGGAGGGGAACAGCGTTGGGGAATCGGCGAAGGGGAACAGACGAGTTGCTGTTCTCTTGTTCTTCAGTCTAGTTGTGGAGGACATCGCTTCACTGGCCCATGTTGGTATTAACATTGCGCTCTTCCCCGGGTGAGACAATCAGTTGCCGGCCACTGAACGGCCGCTCACAGCAGCTCATGCCAGCTGCCAGCCACTCACAACAGCCCCCGCTGCAGCCTCGCTGTCGCTGGCGATTTACGGCAGCCCAGTTCCAGGTCTAGCTGCTGTTCACCATCTTAGCTGTAGAGGGTGCAGCGTCACTGGCCCTCGTGTGGGATCCTAACTGGGACCCTGCTGCTCAGAGCCGGCACTCCCAAGCCAACTCCTAACCAATGTGCCACACAGCCGGCCCTTCCCTTTTATTCTTGGTTTTTAATATCTGGAGACAGTATGATACAGTGATTAAGAGCCTTGACGCTAGGTTCAAATCCCAGTTTCACCACTTATTCATGTGAACTTGCGCAAGTGGCTTCTCTCTGAACTTCATTTTCTTTTTGTAAAATGAAGGTGATAGTAGTACCCCTTTCACGAATTTGTAGTGAGGTTCTGTGAGGATGTGAGCATTTAGTGAATGCTAGCTAGTTTTACTGTTTTCCTAATTGCAAATATAGAACTAGTTCATGCACATTACCGAAGTGTCAAGTAATAAATGTGGAGGGGTATAAAGGAAAAATACGCACCCCCAGCCCTGCTTCCCAGAGATAAACACTGCTAAGAGTATTGTTTCCTTCCAGACCTTTTCTATGCAGAGATAGATATTTGTCTGTATATACTTAAAGTTTCTGCATTTGTTGGCTTTTTTGTTTATAAGAAATAGGACTATGCTTTATATTTTCAGCTGAGAGACATTAAAGTGTAGTGACTCGTGTTTGAATCTCTGCTCTACCATTGGACAAGCAACCTATTCTCTCTGAGTCTGTTTCTTCACTGGTAAATTGGGGGTCATTATTGTGGCATCTACTTTAGGGTGTAGGTGTGAGCATTTGGTGAGTTAATCTGGCCGGCATAGTAAGCATTCCACCACTGCTAGCTGCTCTTACATATTTTTTGACAGCCTTTTTAATTCAACAATATTATTTTAAGTTGTATCTTTCTCTATCAAAATCATGTTTAGTTACTACATAATATTCTAAACTATGGTTACATCACATTCTTTTTTTTATTCACTATTTCAAGAAATGTGGAGGGCCGGCCGAGTGGCTCAGTTGGTTAAGAGCTCGCTCAAGAGTTTGAGCTCTGAGCAACAGCGGTTCGAGTCCTGGCCCGAGCTGAGCAGCCACTGAGCTGTCAATAGGTGGCAGGATGGCTCAGCTTAAATAAATAAATAAATAAATGTGGCATCCAGTATGCTTTTGCATAGAAAATGTCAAGAAAGATAATGTACCAAAGTTGTGAAGGGTTAATTTTTGGGGACTGGATCAAGGAGAGTGGTGGTACAGAGGACTCTGATCCTTTGTGTGTGTGTGTACGCATATATACATATTTGAAGTTTTACATCAACGTAGTTCATACACTTAAAATTTAAATTCTTTCTAGTCATTCGCTATTGCAAGCCCATGCGTTGAGCATCTTCATCACTAAATTTTTATTCTCATTAATAGGGCTCATCATAGGACTCATCAACACTAAACTTTCTGTTTTGCAGCCATTTGCAGCCATCCATGTACAAGGAAGGGCCTCTTTCCTTTTGGTCCCAAAGGCTGCTGTCTCCAGAAGCCTGGGAGAAAGCCTCCTACTAACTGGTTCCCTTCTCTCCCTCATTAGATGTGCTGTGGGAAGAGGGCAAGGCAGCCTTGGAGCAGCTACTCAAGTTCATGGTACACCCCGCCATCTCCTCCATCAACCTGACCACAGCGCTGGGCTCCCTCGCCAATATCGCCCGCCAGAGGCCCATGTTCATGTCTGAAGTGATCCAGGCCTATGAAACCCTGCACGGTAGGTTGGTTCCCTGTCTTTCCCCTTTCCACTGGCCAGTCTCCTCTTTCCTGAGGAAGTGGGCGGGCCCCTGTGGGATGTGTCATTAGTCTAGTAGGTTGTGGACACAAGGGAGGATTCTCTAGATGGACAGGAGTCTTTCGATTCCATGTGACAGAAACCTGGTTCAAAGCTGGCTTTAATATTGAAGTACGTGTGGTTGAAATGACATGATATCTGTGAAATACTTTAAAATACTCCAGCCTTCCCGCATTCCCCCTCCCCTCCCAAAAAAAGCAGGGAGGACAGATGTGCCAAAATAGGCAACATGTTGGTGGGTACATGTTGGTTGGTGATTCATTACACTGTTTTCTCTACTTTGGTACATGTGTGAAAAATGGTAGTCTGGGGTTGATGGGTGAGTGTGTGCAGATCATGGATCTGCATGAGTCTGTCTCCATCTCTTGGCTCTTGTTTTCTCCATGTTGGTTTCGTTCTGTGTCTCTTTCCTTGGGGTAGCAAAGATGGCCCCCTAATAGCTCCAGACTTCCATTCTATCCACTTGGCAACCCCGGGGGAAAGAGAATGTCTCCTTCCCAATCATTCTAGCAAAAGTCCAAGGGCTGATGCTCATTGTTTCTGATTGGCTGAGACGAGATTACAAGCCTATCTCTGAAACCAATCACAGTGACCAAGGGATTGCAGTGTTCTTACTGACCCTGAGACTCTTGCCCACTTGAACTGAGAATGGAGCCAGGGTGGTTCCTTCAAAGAAGAATGGAAGTGTTGTTGGCTGAGGAAGTAGAGAAGGACGTTAGGCAGGGAAAATTACAGGCATCCTCTTTCTCTCTGGAGCAGGGGAGGCTCGCTCATCAAGGTGACTGTTAAGACATTCAAAAGTCATTCTGGTGGCAGAGACCAACAGTGGACTGTTGTAGCAGTTTAGTTGGAATATTCTGGAGGTGAAGGTGGCGATTATAGTCATCCCCAGGGTGGGGCATTGAAATTTCCAGACGGGAGATGAGACTTTATGTTTAATAAAAGGAAGGTTGTTTTCTCTTTGCATTAAGGTTGACTAATACTGATGGAGACCTCTCAAGGGTTTTAAACAGAAGCTTGTATGAGGGGAAGGCCACACACTAGATCTGAGAGCAAAAGAACTTTTCTAGGGCATGCCTACAACCACTGCCTGAGCTGGGGCCTGGGAAGTGAGGCTAGGGCCCCCATGAGCTCTGTCGACAACACAGAGCTACTATTTCTTTCCTCAGCCAACTTACCCCCGACACTAGCCAAATCTCAGGTGAGCAGCGTGCGCAAGAACCTCAAGTTGCACCTGTTGAGTGTGCTGAAGCATCCAGCCTCCTTGGAGTTCCAGGCCCAGATCACTACCCTGCTGGTGGACCTGGGCACTCCTCAAGCCGAGATCACCCGCAATATGCCCAACAGCAAGGATACCCGCAAGCGGCCCCGAGATGACTCAGATTCCACGCTCAAGAAGATGAAGCTAGGTGAGCTGAGGAGCTGAGTCTGGCCTGGCAGGAGGGGGCGGCAGGGACTGACCACGTTTAAAGTGTTTAATTTTTTACATTAAGCCAAAAGCTCTGTTTATATTATGTTATAAATTATATTGCGTAAATGTGACATAACAAATGATAATCAAAATGAAATTACTGAAGTATTAATATTCTTAAAAGTAATTATGAATTATTTAAATTATACAGAAAGGAATAGAATAATAATAGTCTGCCTTTTACCCCTCTCCACAAAAGTAACCACTCCTCAAGTATTAACACTTAACGTTTTCTTTTAGAAATGCCTCATATGTGTACAGTTCTCCTTTTCTTTGTTTCACCTATAAGTGAAAGAAAAGGAGGACTGTACGCATATTTCTTTTTGAAGTAATTTCTTAATGGTTGTATTATTAGTAGTGTCAACCATGGCAGCTTCCTTACTCCAATAACTTTTTTTTAATGACTCATGTTTGTTTCTAGAACATGTAGGAAAGAATTGTTTTTGTTTTTATTTTAAAGTAAGGAATTTATTTTGATACAAAGATTCAGGTAGGGATCTATTTTTTTTCTCATCCTTAAGCATACAAAGCACAGTGTCCTGTACCTTAATTTGCTGAGCTCTTTTCATACCTGCACATTGAAATCTGCTGCATTCTGTTAGTGGTAGCATAATTGTCTGCAGTGCATGTGGACGTTACCAATCTTTAACCAGTCCCCCTGTGGACGGACATTTCATTAGTGTCCATTCTTTTAAAAGTATAAAAATTGCTATAGCATAACAGTCTTGTGTGCGTGTCCGGTCATAGGACAAATTCTATGTAGTGGGATTAGTGGGGCAAAGGGTTTGAGCATTTGAAATTATTTTTTGTCCACCAATTTTACTTTTCTGTTTCTTTAAACTTTTTGTCTTGAAATAATTTTGACCTTGCAGACAAGATTCAAGAAGTGTACCGAAACTCCTGTGTACTCTTCACGAGGCAGGGATCCCACATTGCATTTATATAGTTGAAGAGTCCAGGACAGCGATTTGGTGGAATGTCCCGCTGTTTGAGTGTGTCTGCTCTTGCCTCTTGATTGAATTCAGGGTCTGCGTTTTTGGCAGGAATGCTGCAAAAGCGATACCCTGAACTCTGTGTGGCACCAGGAGGCACATGATGTCAATTTGCCCCATTTGGGTGATGGGAACTTTGATCCCTTGATTTCTCTAGTGTAAACTACCCTTTTTCCCTTTGTAAATAATAAGTTGAGGGAGATGCTTGAAGATGTAAAATACCTGTTTCTCTTCAAACTTTGACTCTGTGCTTTTAGCATCCATTAACAATTGTTGCCTGCATCTCTTCTTGTTATAATGGTTATAAAAAGATTTCCTTCTACATTTAGTAGTTGGCATTCTGCTGTAATGAAGAGCTTTGTTTTTCTTCTCTCTACTTTGTCATCAGTATGGACTTGTGGGTTCTTATTCATTCTCTGGGTTATCTTCCCTTACTGTTGCCATTCATTTTGCTGCCTTAAGTGCCTCAGATTGAGCCAGTGGTAGCTGGCTCCTGTGTGCCTTTAATATTGTCCCATAAGTTTTTTTGAGTATTTCTTTTTTTTTTTACCTAACAAGATGTTCTAGACTCGTCTTGGACTTTCCGTACTCTAGCCTTGGAATCAGCCATTTCTCTAAGGAGCCCTGGTTTCCTTTAAGCAGCGAATAGTTTCAGAAATCAGATCTGAGCCCTGGATATGCCCATTGCTACTGGGTGCACTTAAAATTCTTGATGGCCATTGCCAAACTGTTTTCCCAAAAAACTGCACTGGGATTTACACCCCCCCACAGTGTGTGAGTGCCGGTCACCCCACTCTTACCAGCCCTGGACATTGTGTAAACCCTCTGAGGATAAACGGTATCCTAGGTTTATTTGCTTTCTTGCACAGGTTGCAGTCAGGCCGAGCATTGTTTTACGTTGATGAGCCATTTGCACTTCTCTAAAGTGCCCATTCGATTGGGCCATTCAACCTTTTGTCATTGAACTACATGTGGTTATTGCAGACTATCAACACTTTATTACCTGTGCTGCAAACTTTTTCAAAAGACTGCATAACATTTCATCATGTTTTTGTCATAAACTGCTTAAATCATCACCCTATTGAACATTCCAGCTTCTCCACTTTCATAAACATGGCTTCAAGGAACATGATTGTTCACAGAGCTTTTTCTCTAAGGTTCAAATCATTAGCTTCTTTTTCCCTTAAAATAGAACAACTGTGCTTGTTTTCAGCCAGCCTGTTACTGATGGATATCATGTGCCATTTCAGTGCTACAGTGAATTCTCTGTACATTTTACCTTAGATAGAGCTATGAGTAAGTTTTTAGAGTAGATCTCTAGAAGTGAAATTGTTCTGTCTAAGAGGTGTACACCTTTGAAATTTCGACCTACTATCAAATTGGCCTTTCCAAGAGGCCAGCCCAGTTTACATTTCCACCATCCATACTCTTACGAACAACTGTCATTGTCATCCTTTTAATTTTTTGTCAATCGTATAGACAAAAATGCTATCTTCTAAGGTTGTTTTTACATGTTCCTGAACCTGGTGAGATGGGGCACTATTTCGGAGATAGAGGTTTTTAAACAGTAAAGCTATGTGAAATTTTTAGTTACCTTTTCATCTTCTTGGAGTTTAGTGTAGTCAGCCAGGCTGGCATTCCCATTTCCCAGATGAGGAGAACTGAGGCCTAGAGAGAGGCAGGTAGTTCCCCAGGGTTATATGGCAGGGCTACAGCCCAGGTCTTTGTCCATTGCACTGCCCCTGTTTGCCTCCCCTTGTTTGCTGTGCTCCCTGGGAGAAGGGAGGACCTGCTGCCTCCCTAAAGCCAGCACCTTGTCTCCTGTATCCCAGAGCCCAACCTAGGGGAAGATGACGAGGACAAAGACTTGGAGCCAGGCCCATCGGGGACCTCGAAGGCCTCAGCCCAGATCTCAGGCCAGTCTGACACAGACATCACAGCCGAGTTCCTGCAGCCTCTGCTGACTCCTGACAACGTGGCCAATCTGGTGAGGTTGGGTGGGGGCCATTCCCCACAGGGCAGGGAGGAAGGGTCTCTTGTCCTTTCTCTGCCTCCACTCCACACTGTCCGCCTCCTCCAGACCCATCAGTCCCAAAACCCCTCTGTTCTCATCGTTGGGAGGGTGTGGGCCTGTGGGCCCTTCTAACCTTGGATGGACCTCTAAGGGGTCACATCACCACCCCCAACAGCCCCTCTTCAGATGGTCTGAGTCCCCATCCAAACCCACTCACTGTCTCTCTCCTCTCCTTTGAAGTCGGGGAGGGTCTATTAACTGGAGAGCGAACCCCCATGACTTGGGTGCTAGGTGCTGTGGGACTGGCATTGGTGGGATGGGATGGCCAGTGTTTTCCACAGATTCTCAAAGATATCCTGTTCCCCAGTAAGAACTGCTGGTTTGAGTTGATTGGGGGTGTGGGGGGGTCTCACACTAGTCCTCTCACTGTAGCAGTGAGCGAGCGCCCAGACCTTTCCGTTGGGTTACTCGTGCTCAACAGCAGTCACCCTCAGCCTTCCCTTCTCTCTGCTTGGAGGCTCCAGAGGACTTAGTGTTTGGGTGAATGTAGTTGGATTTTTGTCGTGAAGGTGATGAGAAGTTTTCTCTCTAGCTCAGATCTCTTTGGTGAGCTCCAGGCCTGGATGTGCAGCCATCTCCCGCATCTTTCTCCCGCATGTTACACAGGCACCCCAGACTCAACGTATCACAACTAAGCTTCTGAAATTTCTCCCCACACTCCTCTATATGCCAATGGCCCCTCCTGTGTTCTTGGTGCAGTAGCCTCCCAGTTTCCAAGCCAGAAACCTGGGAGCTAGGCTCTTTGCCTCCCCCCACATCCTTCCCCTCTTCTCCATCCCCAGGCCTCTGCCTGATCCAGGCTCCACCTTTTCACCTGGAGCACTACCCACGTGGCCCTGGCTTCCAGTCTGCCGCCCGTGGCACCCAGAGGCATCTTTCTAGTACAAGTCATGACACTTCCCCACTCCGATGCCTGCCATGGCTCCGTTTTCTTCTAGATAAAATTTAAATTCAACTTGCCTTAGGCCCTGTCTGATTTGGCCTCCATGAACTTGTACCTTGTTTATCCTCATCACACTCTGGGAAATTGTCCTTTTCAAATTACTGGCACGAAGTTGTTCATAGGATTCTTATAATTTTATACTACCTGCTGTCTAGTAGTGTGCTGCTCTTTTGTCCCCAGTACTATGTCCTTACTCTTTTTTTTGTTGTTCAGTTTTGCCATAGATTTGCTTGTCTTCAGTCATTTCAGAGAACTGGCTCTTAAGTTTTGTTGCTATTCTTTTGTAACCTTTCCTGTTGTATTTCTTTCCTACTACTTTCTTGGAATGTTTTTCCCCAAAGTTTTAAGTTAAATTCTTAGCTTATTAGCCTTCTGTCTTTTCCAGTACTATAAGCATTTAAGGATCTGATTTTTCATCTAAGTATCATTTTGGCTGAATCTCACATATTTTGATCTGTGGTAATTTCATTGTCTTTCTATTCTAATTATTTTATTAGAGTATTCATTTAAACTTCCAAGCATGTAGGGAGTTTTAAATTATCTTTTGTTACCAATTTCTGACAGACATGGATGTGCTCTGTTAGGATACTGATTTTTTTTGTTTTTAAAGTCAATTTCTCATCCATATTACACTCTTCACCGAACCTGCTTCCGCTCTTTGGTACCAACTCTGCTGCCTCTTAGCCTTCCACAATGCTGTTCCTATACCCAGAATACATACCCCCTCCTACTGCAAGACTTCACCCTTTGCCAGCCTATTTCTTGCTCTCCTCCAGTTCTCAATCTAGGTGCCACTTCCCCAGAGAGCTATAGCCGTCCCTGGCCCTCCTGATGTGTCTCATGGCCCCTTTTACTTCCCTCTCTCATGCACCACAATGCATCATTACTCCTTTTCTCTCTGATGTCCCCAAGAGTCTGCGCTCCATAAGAGCAGGCCCAGGTCTGTCTTAGTCACTGCCATTTTCCCCAGCATTGGCTTGGGCATGGAGCCAATGCTTGTCGAATCAATGGGTAAGGAAAGGTTCTTTTTCCTCGGCATCCCACAGGTTCTCATCAGCATGGTATACCTGCCTGAGGTTATGCCCGCCTCCTTTCAAGCCATCTACACTCCAGTGGAGTCAGCAGGCACCGAAGCCCAGATCAAGCACCTAGCTCGGCTCATGGCCACACAGATGACAGCCGCAGGACTGGGCCCAGGTGAGTGTCACGGGGAGCTGACCCTGACCAGGGGTTGGCACTGTGCCTGTTGGGTTCTCCTTACTGGAAGAGCACCTCCTTGTGGTGATACAGATGAAAATCACTTGAGATCTTAGGAGACAGTAATTACAAGTCCCATAGATTGATTGAGTACTCAGTATTTTAGGTCCTGGGCTTTGAAATCCAATAGACCTGGGTTAGAGGTCTGATTTGAACCAGACTGCCTCAGGCACTCAAGCTGTGTGACTTTGGTCGAGTTTCTTAACCTCTCTGAGCCTCAGGTGTTTTCCCATTTTAACAGTATTATTGAGGTATAAATTATGTACAGTGAAACAACTCTTAAGTGAACACCTTAGTGACTTTTCACAGTGAACACACCAGTGTAACCTCTACCACCCAGATGAAGAATATACAACTCTAGAAAGTTCCTTCTTGCTCCCTTCCAGTCAATACTCACACATTCCACCTCCAAGACAATCACTGTTCTGATTTCTGTCTCCATAGATTAGTTTTTCTTAGTCTTAAACTTCATATAAATGTGATCATAGAGAATCTGGCTCCTTTTGCACAGCAGTTTTCAAGATTCAACCATGTTGTTGTGTGAACCAATAGTTTATTTTTTAATTTTTATTTATTTATTTTTAATTGGGGAACAGCCATGGTCATTGGTTACACATTGCTTTCATGCTACAATGGCATAGTTGACTCTTTTTTTTTTTAAGGTTTTTATTGGGGAATTGGGGGGATGGGAACAGTGCTGGGGAATTGGGGGAAGGGGAACAGACAAGTTGCTGTCGTTTTGTTCTTCAGTCTAGTTGTGGAGGACGTTGCTTCACTGGCCCAAGTTGGCACCATCATTGCGCTCTTCCCGGTGAGGCAGATCAGTCACCGGCTTCTGGACGGCCGCTCACTGCGGCTGCTGGCCGCTCACGCTGGCTGCTGGCTACACACGGTAGCCCATGGCAACCCACTGCCACAGGGGCTGCAGCCTACGCCGTCACCGGCGACTCACAGCAGCCCAGCTCCAGGTTGAGCTGTTGTTCAGCATCTTAGCTGCAGAGGGCAGTGTCACTGGCCTTCATATGTGGGATCCGAACCAGGGCCCTCTGGCATCCCAAGCCAGTTCTTAACCATCGCGCCACTCGGCCGGCCCCATAGTTGATTCTTTTAAGGAGGGCACAGCTCACAGTGGCCCATGCAGGGATCAAACCGGCAACCTTGATGTTATCAGCACGATGCTCTAACCAACTGAGCTAACTGGTCACCCCCAATAGTTTATTTTTTATTGCTCAATAGTATTCCCATATGTGAAAAGGCCACCATTTGTTCTATCCCTGCCTCTGTTAATGGACCTGTGGGTTTCCAGTTTGGGGCCATTGTGAATAAAGCTGCTGTGAACCTTTGTGTACAGGTGTTTTGATGCACACATGCCCACATTTATCTTGAGTATATGCCAATAGTGGAATTGTTGGGTCAAGACTAAGATGTGTTCAGTACTATTAGAAACTGCTCTTCACCTTTGTTGCTAAATGGCTGTTACATTTGACACTCCCACCAGCAGTGAATGGCATTTCTAGCCTGAGCCTCAGTTGTATTTTCGCAAAGTGGGGATAAAAAGCCGACATGTCCCAGAAAGGCGTTCTGCAGATTTAAATGAGTTTTGTGTGTACGAGGCTTAGAATAGAGGCTGGCACACGGGAGGGCCTTGGATGGGAACAGGTGGGTCTGACATGCCCGGAGCCCATTTGCTGCCTCCCTCTTAGGTGTGGAGCAGACCAAACAGTGCAAGGAGGAGCCCAAGGAGGAGAAGGTGGTAAAGCCGGAGAGTGTCCTGATTAAGCGGCGCCTGCCAGCCCAGGGCCAGGCCATCTCGGTGGTGGGCTCCCTGAGCTCCATGTCCACTCTGGAGGAGGAGGCACCCCAGGCCAAGAGGAGGCCAGAGCCCATCATCCCTGTCACGCAGCCCCGGTGAGTCCCCTTGCACAGGACTGGGAGCCTGCCCTCCAAGCTCATTGTTCCCCTCGTGGCATTCCTTGAACAGCCACACAGGTCCCCGCTTGATGGCCTTTGCACTTCCTGTTCTCTCTGCCTAGAATTTGTGTACCTTGCCACCTGGCTTCATTCAGATCTCTACTCACACTTGGCCTCCGCATAGACGCCATCCCTGAGAACCCTTTACAGAAACAAAATAACACCCTCTTCTTCTCGTTACCCAGCACCCTGCCATGCCTCAGAGTGACAGGGACATTAGCGAGGCAGTGTGGGGTGTCTATGTATGGCCTGGAGAGTCACCAGGTGGGTCTGGGCTCTAGAAAGGGTGTTCTGAGTCACTGTCCCTGTCCATCTCTTCCATGTAGGCTGGCGGGCGCTGGCGGGCGCAAGAAAATCTTTCGTCTGAGTGATGTACTGAAGCCCCTGACCGATGCCCAAGTTGAGGCCATGAAGCTGGGCGCTGTGAAGCGGATCCTGCGGGCTGAGAAGGCTGTGGCCTACAGTGGGGCAGCCCAGGTGCGCCCCTGTTCCCCGCACGGCCGGTCCTTCTAGTCCCTCTCCCCAAGAGCCTAGAGCACAGCAAACAGCTGGGCCCCTGGTCTGCTTCTCACCAGTCACGCCTCCAAACCTCACTTCTGTCCTCCACAACAACTGAGGTGACAAGGAGGAAGAAGTGCGTGGACTCTTAACTCAGCGCAGGGCTGGCTGCAAGGAGCAGCCCCGCCAGTGAAGGCTGCTGCTGTGTCCTTTCTTCTTTGTGGTTAACTCATTCTTGTTGTTTAGATTCAGACATCCCTGGTTTAAATCCTGATTCTGCCACTTGTTGGCATTGTAACCTCAAGTGACTTTTGTCCCATTTTTTGAAGGTTTTTTTATTTTGTCTTTTTGAAGATTTTATTGGGGAATTGGGGAAAGGGAACAGTTTTGGGGAATTGGAGAAGGGGAACAGCCAAGTTGTTGTCCTTCAATCTTAGTTGTGGAAGGTGCAGCTAGCTCAGCTCCAAGTCCAGTTGCCATCCCATGCGGGAGTCGAACTGACAACCTTGTTTTTAGGAACGCATGCTCTCACCAGCTGAGCCATCCTGGCAGCTCAGCATCAGCTCAGCTCGGGTGCAGCTCACTGGCTCATGTGGGAATCGAACCAGTGACCATGTTGCTCAGAGCTCGCACTCTTAACCAACAGCCATTCTGCTGGCCCTGAAATTTATTTTTAATTAACCAAGTAATATATGAACATACTCTGTTAAAAAATATTTCCTGGGGGCTGCCGGTTAGCTCAGTTGGTTAGAGCACAGTGCTCATAACACCAAGGTTGCCGGTTCGATCCCCACATGGGTCATTGAGATGTGCCCTTCACAACTAGATTGAAACAACTACTTGATTTGGACCAAAGAAAAACAATAAAAACATTTCCATTGCTCCAAAAAAGACCTTAAAAATACACACACACATTTCCCTGCCATAGAGGTACCTGCACCCCATCTCCCTCCCCGGAGGTGACCAATGTACACATTAGGGACTCCCTCAAGATCTTTTTCTGTATGCTTACGTATGTGGATATAACTCCTGGCTTTATCCTGTGATTATTGATTTTTTTTTCCCTCCCTTTTTGTCCCCACACAAACGGGACCTACTAGGCATAAGGTTTCTTTGGTTTGCCTTCCTCACTTACACCGGGTCCACACTGGAGTTCTCTGAGCCTGGGCAGGAAGTGTTGCAAGGCCCGATCGAAGGGTGCTCAGGATTGCCCGTCTCCACGGTGACAGGCACTTGCTCTCTTGTCAGGTGCGCATAAAGATCCTCGCTAGCCTGGTGACGCAGTTCGACTCAGTCCTGAAGGCCGAGGTCCTGTCCTTCATCCTGGAGGACGTGCGGACCCGCTTGGACCTGGCCTTCGCCTGGCTCTACCAGGAGTACAATGCCTACCTGGCAGCCGGTGGCTCGGGCACCCTGGACAAGTATGAGGACTGCCTCATCCGCCTGCTCTCCGGCCTGCAGGAGAAGCCAGACCAGAAGGATGGGTGAGGGGGACGGCCCTGTACCCTCCTGTCCTCAGGAGCCCCCTCCTGTGTTCTGCCTTTTCTTTCTGGTTTCTGACCACCTCTCTCTCCCTTACCACCTGACTCAGTCCTCCGTGTGCCCATCCCGAGTCTCCCTTCCCTCCCCACTGGCTGGAGGCCCGTACAAGGGCTCTGGGTCACACACCCCGGGCTTGTTCCCCAGCTCTGCTGTTTGCCCACTGACTGGCCTGTGGCACTCACCCTCTGGGCCTCCGTTTTCTCATCGTAAATAACGGCCTGCCTCACAGGCCTGTTTTGGATGTTGACGTCTCTCCATTCTGTCTTTTGCCTGAATTGGTTCTATACGTTCCTCTTTGTTCTCGGCCTCCAGCTTATCTCTACATAGCAGCCCGGGTGCCACTTTAAATCTTGTCTTGTTTCTTCCCAACTTAAAACCTTCCATGGTTCCCCAGTGCTCTTGGGATAAAATGCAGCCTCCTTACCATGTCCCGTGAGACCCTGTGGAATCCAATCCCTACCGACCTCTTTAGCCCTTTTTTGTGCCCCTCTGCTCCTTGCCACCTCCAAACCATAGCCGCACCAGCCTCCTGTCTTCTGTTCCTCAAACATGCCGAGTTCAGGGCTTGGCACTTACTGCTCTCTCTACCTGGAATGCTCTCCCCCCCCCCCCCCCACTGCATGGCTGGCTTCTTCCCACCCACCAGCATCAACCCAAATGTTATCTCAAAGTGACCATTTTGTGGCCACCACATCTGAAATAGCAGTACCCCTCCCCGACCCCATTCTTCCTCCATTGCCGTATCAAGTGAGTGCCCAGTTGACAAAGGGGAGAAGCTGTTTCAGAGAGGTAAAGTCTCTGCCCAAGTCACCCAGCTCTGGCAGCGTTTGAACCCTGCTCTGTTGCCATCCATGCTCTAACCAGGGGTTGAGTGAGCGATCCGTGTGGGAGGCCCTGCCAGCTCCGAGCTCTGCGATTGAGCAGGACTGGGAGGCCAAGTGGCCCCTCTGCAGCCCTTCCCTGTCCCTTCCTCTCTGGCAGGATCTTCACCAAGGTTGTGCTGGAGGCACCACTCATCACTGAGAGCGCCCTGGAGGTGATTCGCAAGTACTGCGAGGACGAGGTGAGGACGGCGGCAGATCTACGTCCCCAGCATCACGGCGCAAGCAGGAGCCCTGCTCGCTGCAGCCTGTGGCAGCGGGACGGAGCCCTGTGTCGGGTGTGAGGGGCACACAGCCTAGATCTGTGAAGGGGCTTTCTGAGGGACAGTAGCAGATCTGAGCGAGACAAGGGAGCCGTCCCAAAGGCTCGCTGCAGTGGAATGAGCTCTGGTCCCCTCCTCCTGCCGCAGAGTCGCACCTACCTGGGCATGTCCACCCTTCGAGACCTGATCTTCAAGCGCCCGTCCCGTCAGTTCCAGTACCTGCATGTCCTGCTAGACCTCAGCTCCCATGAGAAGGACAAGGTGATTTCCCGCTGTGCTGTGCTGGGCTACACTCAGTCCTTCCTCTGTCTCGAGTAACCAGCCTGGCCTCTTCCACATCCCCCTGAAAGTTGCCCTTCTCGCAGCAGTGTTTAGGTAGTGGTGGTTTTGCCGTTTATGACGCCATGAAGCTGCTTAGAACATACACACATGTATACACTCACCCTCGCAGGAAGGGCCGTCCCATTCTCGCTCTTACTCCACCCATGGTGGTGAGCCCCTCAAGGCCTGGTGCTGTGCTGGGACCTGGGGGGTGCTGACCAGACAGGGAGCCAGTATGACCAGTCAGCAGGCAGTGAGGACACTGCCGGGAGAGGAGCAGCACATGTGCCTATGGGAGATTAGGGAGGGGCCTGAGCCATCTGATGGGCAGGTGCGCAGGGGAGGCAGTTTAAAGGAGGCTTCTGCAGGGGGAAATGTGTGAGCCAAGACCTGAACTGTAAGTAGGATGGGTGTGTTTGGGGCAGAGGGGACAACGTGTGTGCATGCATGTGACTGAGGGCCCTTGAGCCATCCTGCTCCAGCCTTGTGTCAAATCCTTTCTTGCTGTCACATGTCCATTCAGCAGACCCTTACTGCGCACTGTGGCTCAGCCCTGTGGTGCTGTTGGGGATAAAGCAGTGCTCAACACCAGCCCCTGTCCTCAGGGCTCCAGCAGGGGATGTCTGAGTGACACAGGACATAGCCGTGACAGGTGTTCCAGGCAGTGGGAATTTTTTGCTCAAGTCTCAAAGCCAGGGAGAATGCCATCACTTTTGAGGAACTGAGGAAAGCTCATTCTGGTTGGAGCGTAGCAAGCAAGGCAAGAAATGTTACGAGGTGGGGCATAGCAGGCAGGCAGTAAGGTGATTCGGAGCCCTGAATTGGGCCAGGAAACCTTTCTCCCAAGCCAGTGACCCACCTTGGGCACAGGTAACTCACCTGTGCCTGGCTTTTCTCAGTCTTGGGCTTGTTCACACTGGTGCTGCCAAGCTCAGAACAGCTGTCTCCCCTTCCACCATCTTGCCACCACTCTCTCCTCAGGTGCGTTCCCAGGCCCTGCTATTCATCAAGCGTATGTACGAGAAGGAACAGCTGCGAGAGTATGTGGAGAAATTTGCCCTCAACTACTTGCAGCTCTTGGTCCACCCCAACCCGCCGTCGGTGCTGTTTGGAGCTGACAAGGACACAGGTTTGGTGGCAGATTCATCAGATGCGTACTGAACACCTGCTGTGTCCCAGGCTCCGGGCTGGACCCTGGGAGCAGCTGGATCAAAGCTGAGCCCTGCCCAGCCTCCTAGGGAAGCCCACAGCCAGACAGTAATAACCGGAACCAGCATGCCTGGGACGGCAAAACCAGGAGGCTGCAAGGAGCCCAGAGAGGCGCCTGACCCAGCCTGTGGGCTCGGGGAGAGTGTCCTAGAAGAGGAGACAGTTGGGCTAAGAGCTGGAGGACAAGGAGAGCTAGCCAGTGATGGGCTCCAGGAAGGACCAGGCAGGACCATCACAGGCCTGTTCCCTCAGCAAAGCCCTGGGTCCCCTAGAATTACAGATGGGGAGACCCAGGCCCCAAGAGAATGGATCAGTAAATTGGAAGGTTTAGGCTGTGGAGGGAAGCCCAGGGCCTTCTGGGAGCACAGGCGCCCTGGCATAGCCTTGGTGCTGGGAAGGCTTCCCAGGAGAGCCACTGGCTTCATGAGACCCAGAGGATGAGGAGGTACAAAAAAAAGAGTTGGGGAACTGTGTTCTAGGCAAAGGACCAGGATATACAAAGGCTCCAAAGTGGGGGACCTGGGGGGATGGTCAGAAATCGGGTGTGAGCAGAGTACAGAGCCCCGGGGGCAAGGGCTGCCCCATTAGCGCCTGGTAGGTAGAGCAGTGTGAGGGGCTGGGGATTTATCCTGAGGGCACAGGACAGTCATGAGAGCGCTGAGCAGGAGATGGGCAGGATCGGACCTGCCCTTGAGAAGGATCCCTCTGGCTGCCTGTGGGTTGGTGGTCAGAGGAGATGAGGTGGGAACTCAGTGCAGAGGCTTCCAAAAGAGGGAACAGCCCTAGTCCCACCCCATTTCCCTGATTCTTGGCTTCTGCCCAAGGGCCTAGCTCCCTTCTGTGCCCACCCCCGAAGAAAGGACAGACACGGGGTGGGAAAGGGTTGGGAGGGGAATGGGGCCGGCCTGATCCCCGCCCCCTGCCCTGTCAGAGGTGGCAGCACCCTGGACCGAGGAGACCGTAAAGCAGTGCCTGTACCTCTACCTGGCCCTCCTGCCTCAGAACCACAAGCTGATCCACGAGCTGGCGGCCGTGTACACTGAGGCCATCGCTGACATCAAGCGGACGGTGCTAAGGGTCATCGAACAGCCGGTGAGGCCCCTGAGCCCACCAGGCTCTGCCCACCGTGGGCAGGGCTGAGTCCCCAGCTCCAGCCCCTCCCCGGGTATCTCCGCCTCAGCATGAGCTGAGCACTAAGGCTTGTTACCAAGCGGTTCTGTAGCTTGTGAGCGGTCTGCACGTCCATCCGCTCATGAGACGACAACAGGGTGGCCCCGCAGTTAAGAGCCTGGCATTGGGCAGACCTGGATTCACATCCTACCTCTTACTTTCTCACCTGCACCCCCTTCAGAAAAAACAGGGGAGGTGCTGCAGTCCCCCGAGCTGCTGGTAGGAATTCCGTGTAAATATCTATTATCACTGGTATCATTTACCAGATGGCCTTCCCCTGCCTTGCTGATGGGAACCTCTGGAGCCACAGGGCCACCCACATGAGAAGCAACTCTGTTGCAGATTGGCTCCTGAGATCAGAATGTCTGTGCTGCCGATTTGCAGCTGGATTTCAAACCACTTTGATATCTCTGCCCTGACATTTGTTTATGAAACTTTTCCAAAATAATCAGGAGAGTATGGTATGTTAATTCCCACATACCTGCCACTCAGATCCAACCATGTCTCCATCCACGTCCTTCCTATAACATGGGGATGGTAGGCTCGTGATGAGGAAGCAGACGCTCACCAGAGTGTGAGCTCCTGCAGGGCAGAGTTGTCAGTTCCACTCATGATCGTAAACATTTATTGGGCAGAGGAAGGCGCAGCCCCTTTGAAGCCTGGAACCCCTCCCCCGTGCTGGGTGCTTGTGGGCAGGCCAGAGCCCTGATCTGAGCAAGCAGCCAAGCTGGGGCCCTGGCAGTCACAGGGGGTGGGCAGGGGTCGCTGATGTCTTTGGGAGCCAGAAAAATCTTCACTGAGGAATTGAAGGAAAGGTTGGCCGTTAAAGGTCAGGTTAGGTCAGAGATGACACAGAAAAGGCGTGGCCTGCCACATAGGAGCCAGTGCTGGCAATGGCTCAGGAGCGACAGTAAGAGTCCCTGTGAGATGAGCTGGAAGAGACCAAGACGCTTCTGCCCCACCCCTCCCACCTTCCCCAGATTTCCCTCGGTTCAGAGAACTGTCACCAGCTCTTTTTTTCCCCCCAGTTTTATTGCGATAGAATTGACATAGAACATTGTGTTAGTTTAAGGTGTATAACGTAAATGATTTGACATGTGTATATATTTCAAAATGATCACAGCAGTAAGTTTAACATCCATCACCTCATAGTTAGAATTGCCCTTTCTAGTGAGGAGAAATGTTAAGATCAACTCTGAGGCATCACTTCTTACCCCAGTCCCAGCATCCGCCCAGCCACCTTGCCCTTGACACTTGGGCCTCCCTGAGCTCTCACCCTGGGCCTCCTTGCCCTCCCCGCATTGCCTAGGCCTTCCCTGTCATCCCTCTCTACCTCTAGATCCGAGGAATGGGCATGAACTCGCCTGAGCTGCTACTCCTGGTGGAAAATTGTCCCAAGGGGGCAGAGACGCTGGTCACGAGATGTCTGCACAGCCTCACAGACAAAGGTGCCCTCTGGGACCCCTACCTTTCATCCTTTTCTTCCATCGCTCAGGTCGTCCCCATTTCTCCTTCCCAGGACTTGGGGATCAGAGCTGCTGGGTCCCCAGATGGTTGGACCTCTTTTTGGTCTTGCCATCTTTGGGCCTCACTTTCTCCATCTGGAACAGTGTATGGCTAAATGCATTTGAGAAACCAAGAGCCAAGGATTCCTGTTCTGAAGTAGAGTTGCCCCTCCCCTCCCCTCCCATACATTGCCATCTCTTCCCCTGGCAGTACCCACCCTCACCGCACTGCCCCCAACACCTATGCCCCCTGCTGCTTCTGCCTGCAGTCCCACCCTCCCCAGAGCTGGTGAAGCGGGTCCGGGATCTCTACCACAAGCGGCTGCCAGACGTCCGCTTCCTCATCCCTGTGCTCAATGGGCTGGAGAAGGTATGGAACTGGATGCTCGGGTGTCCCCACTGAAGAGGACATGGCAGGGCGGGGACTGGGAGGAGGCAGGTACCCAGGTACCCGTCAGATGCTTGGTGAGCACATTCAGGGGCTTGTCAGACCAGGGGTCAGTCTCAGCATCGCCTCGTCCTCTGTGACCTCAAGCTAGCCATCCCCTCTCAGCCTTGGCTTCCTTCTGTCAAGCGAGGATCACAGTTATCCCCCGCACCCCATCACCATGGGTGAACGTCCATCTCCTTGTGTAAAGAGTGGGTGATAACGCTTCACTTTCCAGGGAGTCAGGGAGCTGGCCCAGGAGGGAAGGAACACAGAGGGGGCTCAGATGGGGAATGATGAGGCTGAGTCAGGCCCAGTGAGATGGGGAGAAAGCTCAGCCCTGAGGGGCCAAAGGGAGTGAGAGGAGGAAAGCGTCAGGGGCTTTGTGGGGCACACCTGACCCGCCTCCCCTGCCCTCCCCCTGTAGAAAGAAGTGATCCAGGCCCTGCCAAAGCTCATCAAACTGAATCCCATCGTTGTGAAAGAGGTCTTCAACCGCCTGCTGGGCACCCAGCATGGTAGGTGATGGGCTCCCCATCAGGGGCCAGCTCAGCCTTGGCCATAGTTCTCCTCCCACATGGCTCCCTGTGTCCCAGCTCCCCAGCTCCCCCTGGAGGTCCTGCCTCTGGTGGTTATGCAGGAGGAAGGGGGCCCACAGGTGGGCGAGGTGTGTAATGTTGGGGGAGGCTGTGGTGCCAGCTTTAGGGAGAAAGGGGCTCATCCCTGGGGCTGCCATCCAGACTTGGCGATACCTGAACATCATCCCCAAGTTCCCAGGCCACCCTCCTATGATATTTGGACGGTGGTTTCTTCCATGGCGGGAGCAAAATTGTACAGCTGGGCCTGACTCTAATAGTGTCTTCCCTTTTGGGACCCAGCTACTCTCAGTCTCCCTTCGGTGTGGGCTCCACTCCTGCCTCTCCTCAGTTCTTGCCTGAACCCCTCAAGTTGTATGTGAGGGACATTTTGTTTGACATGGTCAGAAGGAAGCAAACTCAAACTTTTAGCTTAGGTGTAGGATTGCTTCCTTCCCCGTCACCCTGAAGTTAGGGAGAGGGCTGGAGGCCGTCTGTTCCACACAACACAACCTGGTGATTTAAGACACACACAGGCATGTCCGGGACCCTCAGGACGGCACCTGCAGAGCCATCTCCCCTCGCTGCCTCCACGCAGCACCCAGTCCAAGCTCTGTTCACAAGTCCATTGCCTGGCCCCAGCCTGACCTGTCAGCAAATGCCCGGGACTGTTTGTGCTGTGCTGGGGACCCCATGAGCTCGCCTTGCCCGGCCTGCATGGGTGCACAGCCCAGTGGGGAGGGAGAGGAACAGCCAAACCACACTCAGATACCGGCCTAGTCCTAACGAGGGTGGGAACCCAGTGTGGGGGAGGAGAGCGAGAGATGGTCTCACACGGAGGGAAGGCTTCTCGGAGGGGGTGGCTTTCCCACTGCTGCCTCAGTGAGCACGCTTTGTGTGCTCTCAGTCTTTGTTCCCCTACTCTGGTTTTTTGTCCCCCCAGTCCCACTGAAGCAGAGGGTGCCTCGTCTTCAGTCACTGCTCCCCAATCTGGGGGACTCCAACCATCTCTTCACTTAGGCTTCCATGCTGTCTCCTTCCCCTCCTCCCTCTCTCCCACTGCAGGTGAAGGGAACTCAGCCTTGTCCCCCCTGAACCCCGGAGAGCTACTGATTGCATTACACAACATTGACTCTGTGAAGTGCGACATGAAGTCCATCATCAAAGGTGAGGTATCCCCCCACCCCCTCTTAAGTGGCCTGGCCTCCACGGACTCGGGGAAGAAGTTCAGTCACCCACACGTCTCCACTGGAATGTGCCAAGTCGGAGATGGTGTCACGGTAGCCTCATCCCAGAGCTCCGACACCCACCATTGTTTCTCCCTCCCTCCTTCCTTCCCTCCTTTCCATCTTTCCTTCCTCTCTCCATCTAAGGAACTAATGTACCTACTGAGTCCTGGCACAGAGTTTGCACTCAAGAAAGCTGGGGAGCTCCAGCCCCGGCCCAAGGAGCCGGTGAAGCAGAGCCCAGGGCCTAGTGTTCTTGGTGGGGAGGGGGCAGAGGCACTGCCGGCAGAGCAGATGGAGGGCACCAAGGCCCAGGCTGGACCGGAGTAGAGGCTGGATCTAGTCTGGGCTCCAGCTGCAGCAGGAGTGTGTGGGGCAGGGGTGTTGGTGACAAACTGTCAGGCTCCCCACAATCATCAGTTTCATGAAAGCCGCTGTCACTGAGCACTTACTCTGAGCCAGGCTCTCCTGAGTGCCTCACAGGCCTGCCTGCCTTCTGCACCACCCGTTACCTGGTAAGTATGCTGACATCCATTTTGTAGACAAGGAAATGGAGGTTCCAGAGAGGTTAAGTAACATGCTCGGCCACACACAACCTAAGTGGTATAGGGGAGAAAACAGAATCTGAAGTCGAGTAGACCTGAGTTGGGGTCCCAGCTCTGCCAATTCCACATCTCCCGTGGGAAGACCTCTCTCCCTCAGCTCTCAGCCCTCCACTCCCTCCCTGAAGGAGGTTTCTGGTCCAGAAGCCGTGCTTTCCCACGGAGGCAGACAACTTACGGTCACGTGCTCTACTCAGAAGACAACTGTCCTTTGATTACTCCCCTGTCCTTTATGAGCGGGGTGGGGGTTCCCCTCCTTGCCACTTAAGTCTCATGTCTAGCCTGAAATCGCTTCTCTAGTGACTTATTTCCTAACCTTCCCCAGCAAGTTCTCTCAGAAACTTTTAGGTCAAGAGAGGAGCTTATGAAAACGTAAAGCCCATGCTACAAGTGAGGAGGAACTAAGGCCTCTAGCAGAAGAGCAGTAGGGTGGAAAGGGTCTGGAAGCTTGGAGTCCAAGAGCTGTCTTTTTACACTCACTGGCCCCTTCGATGACCTCAGGAAAGCTTTGGGCTCATTCCCAAAGACAATGCGCTCACACGGCTTTGTGTACAATTTGGGAGGTGTCACAGACCCCACCACCCCACCAAGCCCATCCATGGACCCACATGTAGTCCCTGATCTTACATGAGGGAACCAAGTCCCAGGGAATAAAAGGGCCTCGCCACAGGTCACACAGGCGGCCAGGGGCCAGGCCCCTGGAGATGTCGGCAAGGCTTGGCCTGGCCTTGAGAACCCCACCTGTTTCTTCCTACAAGCCCGGGCCCATACACAACCTCCATACTGTGGAGCTCTCAGCAAGCCCACAGCTGGTCTCCCTGCCAGCCGCTGGTCCCCAGCACCTAGTCCAGCCAGTTCGCAGAGCACATTTCTGTGCTCAGGCACCAGTGCTTTTCCTGGTTGCACTAATAGCTCCACTTGACTAAGCTCCAGATCTGAAGTCCAGTCCTGTTTTGTGCACCGTTGGAATCCCCAGTGCCTGATCGTATTGGCAGTCATTTCTGGCACGCACTCGCCCCTTAAACCAGCCTGTTTCTCTGGTGAGTTTTTTTGTAACTAGACCTGCCCCCAGTGGTCTGGACCAGCCATTAACTTAGTGAGCACCTCTGCTCAGCCCTGTGCTGGGCCACGCTAGGTACACAGCAGGGATGGAGACAGCCCTGGGCCTGCCCTCCCAGGGGTCACAGTCCATCCTCAGGCAGTCACAACCCAGAGTGAGCTGGACTGAGAAAAGGGAGCCCTGAGGGACCAACCAGTCCTCCCTGGTGAGAGACATCAGGGAGGGCTTCCTGGAGGAGGGGGACACCTGAGCTGAGCGCACCAAAGGATGAGTAGGCGAACCCAGAGAAAGGAAGAACGTTTGCACAGGCCAAGAGATGCACTTGCATGACCTATAACCATTGAGAAAACCATGCCTGTGCCCCACCCACACGGGTCTCCTAGGCCACAGAGGTAGTTTGGACTTGCTCTCGTGAGGGCCTCTGGGAGGTGTAGGGTCAGGCTGAGCTTTCAAAAGACCCCTCAGGCTGCTGTATGGAGGGTGGGAGGCCCAGGAGGAGGCTGGGCAGAGCTGAGGGAAGGGGGTTGATTCTGCAGGCTTTTAGACAGAGTAGGCGGGAGCCAGTGACGACCAGGAAGTGAAGAGAAGAAAGTGTGTCCTCAGTTTCTGGCAGGTCCTCTCTGGCATTTCTCTCACCTTCTACACTGTCCTCTGCCCCTTTAGCCTAGATTCCCACCCTGCCCCCCTGTCCAGCCTACTCCCTGCCTGTCTACCTGTAATGCCTTCACCCCCTTTTCCTTATAGGAGCCCCCTCCCCCCATTCCTTATAGGCACCCACCCCTGTTCTCCATTAACCTCTCAAGGATTGGGGGCCTCTCCTCTGGCTCAATAAAGACTTCCTGGTTGACAGACTCACATGGCAAGTGGTGTTTGGGGAAGAAGGGTTTCAGAGGCCGTTCCTGGGGTCTCCCCACGAGCACAATGGCTTGAAGCACCGCCTATCCCAACCCGCTCCTGAGGGAATAGACCCCAAGGCTTTCGTGGGTTGTGCCAGCCCTCCTTGGCCCTTCCTGGCACTGGATGTTGAGCTGGGGGGGCTCATATGTCCAGGCTTCCTCCTCTCACCCCTTCCTTCCTTATAACTCTATGGACTGTGTCCCCACATAACCCTAGGTCTGGTGTACCCCAGCAGGAACACAAGCCCTTATGCCCTGGTCAGGGTTGGGAGTGGGCAGTCCCTTGACCAGCCTGCTGGTCGAGGGCCATCCTGTCCCCTGCGGGGATGCTTAGGGAATTCCGAGCTGCCTTCCCTGTCCCGTGGGGGTGGAGGTTCCATGCTGCCTCTGGCAAGCCAGAATGGGTCCCCAGGGGTTGGCAACGGGTCTTCCCTGCCTCAGCCTTTCCACGGGTTTTCCCCAAAGAGAAAGGGCCAGGCTGTGCCCAGTGCGGGGCTTCCAGGAGCTGGCCATGTCTTTTCCCTTGGACCAAGCTGCCAGGCTTCCCGAGGACCAGGCCAGTGTCCCCTCAGAAAGAGACCTGCCGGGCGGGAGGGGGTCTTCTGTTTTGCCTGGAGCTTCCGCAAGTCAGGGCTGGGTCTCCCCTCCCTCGGGCAGATAATGGGGCTGAGGCTGTCTCAGGGTGGTGGGGCTCCCGCCTCCCCGGGGGCAGTTGGGCAAAGAGGACAGGCCCACTCTCCGCCTCCTCGCAGCCACCAACCTGTGCTTTGCGGAGCGGAACGTGTACACGTCGGAGGTGCTGGCCGTGGTGATGCAGCAGCTGATGGAGCAGAATCCCCTGCCCATGCTGCTCATGAGGACCGTCATCCAGTCCCTGACCATGTACCCCCGCCTGGGGGGCTTCGTCATGAACATCCTGTCCCGCCTCATCATGAAGCAGGTAACCTGCCCCGACCATCCAGTCCCCCGGGCAGTGGACTGACTGCAGCAGGGACAAACTGAAGACAGAGTTGAGGCACAACCCCAGGATTTTCCATCCTGTCTTCCCCACACCACCCAGACCGGCCAGCCCCTTGGCCCTGCCCTTGGAGGAGACAGTACAGCGCTCCAGGGGTCGGGACAGCCACAGGGTAGCAACGTGATGAGTGAGGGCCGTTGGGTTGTAGGAGCAAGTGGTAGACTTTAGGGGGTTGTGCATTCCAGGAGAAGCATGGCTGCCCCTTCCCCCTCAGCACTGTGCACCCAGGCAGGATGTATGAGCTGAAAGGTGGTCTGGTTTTCAAGAGACACTAGAAAACAGGTTTTATAAATACCGTGATGAAACTAAAAACCAAACCTCATCCACAATGGTTCGATTCAGCCCACTGGATTCAGCCCACAGGTTGCCACTTTGCAACATCTGGCTGAGAGGTTAAGTGCAGATTCAGACAGACTTGGGTTCAAATGTTAGTTCTGCCCCTTGGGGCCCATGTGACCTTAGACAAGTCCTTGCACCTCTCTGGGCCTCATCTGTTCGGTAGGGCTAATGTCGCCCTCTGGAGGTTGCTGTGATAATGACATGAGGCCGTGCTCCCAAAGGACTTAGCATGGGTCCCACCGGGGGAGCCTAACGTGAAAGGGCCACTCTCAAGTTGGCCTCATGTCCCACCTGCTTGGGATCTGGAAAAGAAATAAGATCCTTTGGAGGGAGGTCAGGGCTCCATGTACCCCAGAGGAATCTGTTGTATAGGGATTTGAGCCCCAGCAGGGCCCCATCTTGGCAAAGTCCTCCCAGTTTGTAGGGTGCCCGCTGGTGTGCTCCCTCACCCCCGCTCCCTCCCTGCCCCGTCCAGGTGTGGAAGTACCCCAAGGTGTGGGAGGGCTTCATCAAGTGCTGTCAACGCACCAAGCCCCAGAGCTTCCAGGTCATCCTGCAGCTGCCGCCCCAGCAACTAGGCGCCGTCTTTGACAAGTGCCCAGAGCTCCGGGAGCCCCTGCTGGCCCACGTCCGCTCCTTCACCCCCCACCAGGTACCCCAGGGTGGGGGGTGGCCCCATGGGACCTGCCCTGGGGGACTGGAGGGGGTGGGCAGAGGGGAGCCTTGCACTGCCACAGAAGGTCAAAGGTTCTGGAGGGTCCGGGACCAGGGATCTGGTGTGTCCACAAGGGGTCACTGGGTCAGAGCTCTCCATAGCTTCCCCATCCTGCTCTTCCCCTAGCAAGCACACATCCCCAACTCCATCATGACCATCCTGGAGGCCAGCGGCAAGCAGGAGCCAGAGGTCAAGGAAGCACCTTCAGGGCCTCTGGAAGAGGTGAGGGTCTGCAGCCCCTGTCCTTCATCTCCACCCGGCCACCTCTGTCTCTGGCAGGAGGCTCCTGCTGAAAGGGAGGGGAGGGGACAGTTGCCCCTTACTCCCTGTGCGCATTCTGCGTCTGCCTCCGAGTGGCCTCTGTCTCTTCTTCCCCAGCATCCTCTGAGAGCAGCCTAGGTCCTAGCCCCCACCCGTCTCTGAGTTTCTGTGTGCCCCTCCCCACCCCCAGGACGACCTGGAGCCCCTGGCCCTGGCACCAGCCCCGGGCCCCCGGCCCCCTCAGGATCTCATCGGCCTGCGGCTGGCCCAGGAGAAGGCCTTAAAGCGGCAGGTGGAGGAGGAACAGAAGCTGAAGCCTGGAGGAGTGGGAGCCCCCTCCTCTTCCTCTTCCTCCTCGTCCTCTTCCTCGGCCCGGCCAGGCCCTCCCCAGCCAGAGGAAGTCATAGATTTCCGGGAAGAAGGGCCTGAGTGTGAGACCCCGGCCATCTTCATTAGCATGGATGACGACTCGGGGCTGACCGAAGCGGCACTGCTGGACTCTAGTCTTGAGGGGCCCCTACCTAAGGTAGGGATGACAACCTCAGAGCAGCAAAGGAAGAAAAATACCAGGGCTCCGGGATGAAGTGTGTGTGCTGAGTGCCCAAGATGGGGGGCGGGGAGGGCACAGCCCAACCGAAAGCTTGGAGGTGGGGCCAGCTGTCTGACCGGCTCCCCCTTCTCCTGTCGCCAGGAGGCAGCAGCGGGCGGGTTGACCTCAAAGGAGGAGCGGAGCCCCCAGACCCTCACTCCTGCCGGAGAAGACACAGCCGTGAAGAACCCCAGCCCCGCCGCTGCCACCGCCGCCGCCGCCGCCGCCGCCGCCGCCGCCACCACCGCCACCGCCGCCGCAGCCGCAGCCGAGGATGCCGGGGAACCCGAGACCAAGGGGAACAGCTGATGGGGCTTGGTGGGGAAAGGGAGTGAGACAGAGAGTGCGGGGCGGTGCTTTGCCTTTAAAAAATAAAAAAACAGATCGCGGGTCTGGGGCGTGGGTGCAGTCTCTGGTCTCCCGCTGTGTCAGTTGGGCTGCGCGGTATCTAGTGAGCGTGCCCAGGAGCCCGTGGGAAGACTGGAAGCTCCTCTGGCATGAGTCTGCGCCTGCGTGGAAACCAGCTCCTTGGCCCGTGCGTCCCCCGCGTGCCTTACCCTGATAACGGCCCACCGTCCCTCAGTAGAAACCCGCGTCGCTGGCCTAGAGGCTACCGGGCGTGTTCAAGCGGACTAGTGGTCTGACTGTGCAAGCCTTCCTCTTGGAAGTCAGCTACCGCTTTTGGACTATGGGGGACTCTCCACCCGACCCTGAGCCGCCTTACCAGCAGTCCTCCAGGCAGAGGACTTCCCAGGTCTTCGATCAGCTCCTCAGTCCAGACCACTCTCAGCCCCAGCCCATGGTCCCCGAGGAGGTGCAGCAGATGCTTGACGCCCAGATCCTGCAGGGCAGTCAGGAGATGCCAGTGAGCCAGACCAACCTCCTGGACTGGTCACAAAGGGCAGGCCTGACCCAATCTGAGAACTTGATGATGTTCCAGGCTGAGGAACCTCAGTTGGGTGGCATAGAGTACCTGCCCATGAATACAGGCTTTCCCTTAGAGTTCCAGCACCAACCTTATCTGAATGAAGACAGGATCCAGGCCACCCACAGTGCTGGCCTAATGCAGCAGCTCCCGCAGGTCCAAGGCAACCTCTTCCAGCAACTGGAGTCTGCCTACCAGGAACCCCAGCCCGACCTTGGCCAGTTCAGCATGTACCAGAGAGAAGACCTTCAGTTCAGCGAGGACACCCAGCACGGGCCCTACATAAGGGATGACCCTGCCCTCCACTTCACGCCCTCTGAGCTGGGCTTTATGCCCTTCCATATGGAGGTGCCTGAGCCAGGGCCTAGGGAGCTGGCCGTGCAGAACGCCAAGGCCTACCTGCTGCAGACCAGCGTCAATTGCGACCTCAGCCTGTGAGAGGGGTCTGGGAGTGGGAAGGGGGTGGGACCCAAGCAGGGAGAGCCCCCAGCGAAGACCCTGCCTCGGGCTCTGGGGTCTCCTCAGTCAAACGGGATTGCCCCTCAAGGAGAACCAACTACTGCTCTGGAGGAATCTAACTCAGACTAGGAGTCGAGATAAATACTAACAATAGCTAAGTAATAAAATAACATTTACTTACCAGACATTGTGCCAGCCCTTTACACATTAGCCTCTAGTCCTCACAGCTGAGATTAGCACATTTGCAGTCCCTATTTTACAGAGGAGGAAACTGAGATACAGAGAAATTAGATCCTGTATCCAAAATAACACAGCTAGGATGTGACGGCCAAGATTCCAGCACAAGTGATTTGGCTCCGGTGGTCATTATCCACTAAACTCCTGCTTGAGGAAGGCCAAGGCCGCTTGGCTGCTGTCATAATACACCTCTCAGCGCACACACCCCCCCCTCCCCCATTACATCCTTGTGAAGCTCACATTTTAGTGGGAGAATGAACACTAAATAAGTGATAAGGTGATAAGAGCTAAGGCAAAAAATGAGGCAGGGTAAGGGCAAGAAGAAGTGCATATTAAATAGTGTGAGGTCAGGGAAGACCTCTCTGAGGAGGTGATATTTGATCGGGACCTGAAGGAGGTGAGGAAGAGCACCTTGCAGGGAATGAGGAAGACTGGTCCAAGTACAGGACCTGGCAGGTTTAAAGGCTTGCTGTGATTGAGGCACAATGAAGAGGCTGTTGTGATGGGAGCCAAGGGAGGAGGAACAGGAGGGGGCGTGGGGGGAGATGAGGTGGGAGAAGTAACAGGCATTGCTGAGGCACAAAACTGACCCCATCCCTTCCCTGCTCAGAGCCTGCCTGACTCTAGTGCCTTCAGGTTTGTGGTCTCAACAGCCTTCAAGGCCACATATAATTCAGCCCTTGCCTGCTCTCCAAACTTCATCCCCTAGAGCAGCGGTTCTCAACCTTTCACAGGGGTCGCCTAAGACCATCGGAAAACACAGATTTTCGATGGTCTTAGGAACCAAGACACCGCTCCTCTATCTGTCTCCAGGCCCACATGCAGATACGCCCACATACGAGTACCCGGCGACTCCTGTGAAAGGGTCGTTTGACCCCCAAATGGGTCGCGACCCACAGGTTGAGAACCGCTGCCCTAGAGTCTAGACAAAATTAAGCGCTACCTCTTGCTTCAACAGTTCCCAGCCCTTAGGAACTTCAAGGTCCATTACTGAAAAGCCCTGGCCAATTCTGACCTCTCCTTACCCTTCCTAATTCAACGATGGCCCTCTACCACACCTGAGACTGTTGCCAAAGGGTTTCCATGCCACAGACGGGCGTGCATGCTTTGAAGTCAGACCAACCTGGTTTCAAATCCTGGCTGTGCTACCACTGTGTGACTGCACGATCTCAACTGTTCCAAGCTTGCTTCCTCACCTGGAGACTGAGGATCACCATTGTTCCTCAGATGTATGATTGTGGTGAGAATTTAACATGGCTCTCAAGTGCCCAGCATAGTGCCCGACTTGGGGGAATGGAAGCCATTCCCATACTGTTCTCATTCTGGTCCCCTCTCCCTCACTCCACTCCAGCCACACTGCCCTCCTCGATGTTCCTCCAACATGCCAGGCACACCCTCAGCTCAAGGCCTTTGCACATCTTTCCCAATCATATCATCTGCAAAACATGGCAATTTTGCTCCTTCCTTTTCAAGACTTTTCTTTTTCATGTCAGATTGCATTGGCTGAGACCTCCAGTGCAATAGTAAATAGAAGTTATGAGAGTAGCCATCCTCATTCCCAATCTCATAGTCTTTAACCATTATGTTTGGTGTGTGTTGTAGGTTACTTGTGGCCACCCTTTATACAATTATAAAAAATTGCTTTCTATTCCTAGTTTGCTATGTTTTTAAAAATCATGAATGGGTGTTTAGTGTTAGCGAACAGTTTTATCTGCACGTGTTGAAGCAATCTCTCATATCGCCTTTAACATATTAACATGATGAATTATATATTTTTTCTAAAATCAGTCTAGTCTTGCATCCCTGTCAGCTCAATTTAATCATGTCCTGTCATTCTTTTGAGAAATTGCTGGATGCTATTTGCTCATGTGTTGCTTAGGATTTTAGCATCTATATTTCTAAATGAGATTGGCATGGAATTTTCCTTGCTCTTAGCTCCTTGAGTTCTGGTATCAAGATTATGTTAGACTCATAAAATACCTCAGGGCCTAGGCACCTGCTGTCCCCTCTGACTGAAACACCCTTTCCTCCCCAACAGCTGCATGGTTTCCTCCCTCACTTCATTCAAATCTCAGCTTAAATGTCACCTTGGTGAGGCCTTCCCTGGCCTCCCTGTTTAAAATTGCAAACCATCTCCTATCACTGGCATTCCGAGTCCCCATTCCCTGTTTTTATGGTCTCCATAGAAATTACCACCCGACACTATATATTTTGCATATTTGGTTAATGTCTGTCTCCATCATCAGAATGTCAGCTCCACCAGGCCAGGGACCTTTTCTCTACTGTGTCCCCAGCACCAGACACAGGGCCAGGCACACAGCAGTGAGCTGAGTGATATTTCCCACCTCCCACTCCCTCCCCCGGGAGGCAGGTATGAACACCTGGTGAACCTGCTGACCAAAATCCTGAACCAGCGGCCGGAGGACCCCTTGTCCATCCTGGAGTCACTGAACCGCACCACGCAGATGGAGTGGTTCCATCCCAAGCTGGACACGCTGAGGGACGACCCAGAGATGCAGCCCATCTATGAGATGGCCGAGAGGCAGAAGGCCCTGTTTGTCCGGGGGGGCAGCGGTGGCGGTGGTGAGGGCGAGCAGGAGATGGAGGAGGAGGTGGTGAGTGAGCCAGCTTGGAGGGACACCAGGTGGGGGGTGAGGCCTGTGCTGAGGCCTGGGGGTGATGAAGCGCATGGCACAACCCAGAAACAGACCATCTCAGTCTAGGGTGTGTGCCGGGAGGAGGGGACTGGGACCCTGTCACAGAGGGCTTTGAATGCCAGGCTAAGGGGCAGGGGCTTTGTCCTGAGGCCACTGGGGTGCCATGGAGAGCAGAGCAAAGCTGGTCAGCTCTGCTCTTTAGAAAGCTGACTCCAGCTGCCATATGGAGGTGGAGGCTGGTCTCTCCCACCATCCCTTACGCCCCCCTCCCTCAAATAATGGCTTTGCAGATGTTTTCTATGAAACTCACTGCCTCCTGCAGTCTCTCAACACTGAATTGCCCGCTATTCCCAGGACTTAGTTTCCCATTTTGTAAGTTGAGACCCACTAAGAACTCTTCTGTCATGACTTGTTAACATTCTACTAGCCTCATAATATTTAATTATACGATTCTGTTTCCAGCATTGGATGACTGCTTAAAATTGGGGTGAAAGTATTCTTTCACTCTTCAAGGAACATTTGTTGAGGACTCTCTTTATGATAATCCTGACACTTCCTAGGCCCCCTGCTAAGATCTTTAGGAGGCTTGTCACCTTTCAATCCTGAAACAACCCTTCAAGGCAAGTGCTATTTATCATTCCTATTTGTAGAGGAAGGACTTGGGTGCAGAGGGCATGGAGCTAGGAAGTGTGGGACACAGGACCAGTAAGGCCGGACTGTGACCTCTGACCCGTGCTATAGCCTCTGCCTTATCTGCAGTTGCCTTTGGTCTGTGCTCACTTCTGTGCTTCTGAGATTCTAGGATTCTGGCGACAGTGAGGCAGGATGGTGAGAGGATACGGGAGTGACAATCTGACAAAGAAATCAACCCTCGTGAGCAGAGTACAGGTGGAAATCCAAGTCTTAGGCATGAAGGACAGTTTTACCTGAGAAGATGGTTTTAAGTTTCAAATCAACAGTCTCTCCTGGGGAGACCGCACCCCCTTGGAACCGCCCCCTTCCTCCCTCACACCCCCAAGTCGCACTCCCACCTAACGCCAAGTCCGGGAAGGCCCACCCCCTTAGAGCTTGGAGCTGGAGTTCTTAATATGCGGTCTATAGAAGGGCAAAATTGTGGGCGTTTGTGGCCTGTGTACATTTCTAGGAAACGACTCAAAGAAATCAGTGATTCAGCATTTTATACTCATTTTTCTGTCTGATGGGAGGAAGAGCTCTCATTCTCTCATTTTTCTATTTCTTCCAAATGGCTAGCCATAATCCCCAACAGCACTTATGGAAAACTCCATTCTTTGCCCCCTGCTTAGAAATGCCACCTCTGCCATTTATACACACGTTTGCAGACCCCGTCTCTTTCTGTATTCTCTAATCGGTGCCTTCCCTCTCTGGGTGGCTTCCTGCGTGTTGTCTACAGCGTTGCAGAGCAGGCCTGGCTATTTGGGAGCATAAGGCTCCCTATCACTGTGCCTCTGTGTTGAAAAGTTCCCGATTATTCTCACATTTATAGTTTTAAACTAACTTTAGTGTTATTGTGTCACCATCCAAAAACTAACAACTTACTCTACTTGTTGGACAGCCCAGGACACTTTAAAAATATATATATATTTTATTGGGGAATTGGGGGAAGGGGAACAGCGTTGGGGAATCGGGGAAGGGGGACAGACAGGTAGACAAATTGCTGTTTTTGTTCTTCAGTCTAGTTGTGGAGGACGTCCCTTCACTGGCCCACGTTAGTATGATCATTGTGCTCTTGCCGGGTGAGGCAATCGGTCACCGGTCATTGGTCGGCGGCTCACAGCAGCTCCTGGCAACTCACTGCAGCCCCGCTGCAGCCCTCGCCGTCGCCGTTGGCTACTCACAGCAGCCAAGCTCCAGGTTGAGCTGTTGTTCACCATCTTAGCTGTAGAGGGCGAGTGTCACTGGCCCTCAATGTGGGATCCGAACCGCAGTCCTGCTGCTCAGAGCTGGCGCTCCCAAGGGAGCTCTTAATCAGCTGAGCCACTCGGCCGGCCCCCAGGTCACTTTAAGGCAGGAAATAGATGATGTCACAAAAATGGAAACAAATGGCTTGGACAAGATAGAAGTTTTTCTTACATCTGACGGTCAGGTTGCAAGCAGTCTAGGGCTGGCAAGGTGGCTCCCAGGTGGCTCCAAGGGGCACTAAGGGCTGACTCCTTCCCTCACCCTTAACCGCCCCCCAACCCAAAAGAAGCAGTTTGCAGGGGGAGAGCAGCAGAGTCTGATCTGTCATGTGGGGGCAGTTGTCCACTCTTACTCCAATCAACTGTGGCCAGAAGAGCAAGGAGAGATCATGTAAACATGATTGGTAAGGCCACACCATTGCCATGTGGATGGGAGATTCCAAAAAGAGGGTGATGGCCATTGGCTTGTGGGCCAGGTACATACCCCAAAGAGAGTTTCCTATGCTCACTCCCTTACCTTCCCTCCTGGCCACAAGGTGGTGAGTCTTGGGATTAAGTTTTGACTCCCTCCCTGAGTTGCTGATGTCAGCATCAGTTAGGCAAGCAAGCTTTTGTATGGTGTTTAAGATTGAGAGAAACTATTAGAATTACTTTCAAAATAACCATTCTCCTACTATAGAGCTTTAGTCCGGGTGTGCCACATCAAGCTGAGATAACAAACAGCCCAGCAATCTCAGTAGCTTAAAATCATAGTTTATTTCTTGCTCACAGTCCCTAACCACCAAAGAGGGCTTTGCTCATCAGCTGCCTGATAACCCAGGTGATGGAGGTTCTATTGAGACACAGGTTTCCACAGTTGCAAAGGAGGAAAAAAAGGGCCTAACAAACCCTATGCGGGTTCTTACGGCTACCGCCTGGGTGTGACACATGTCCCTTTCACTGCAATTTCAGATGGTCAGAGCAAGTGACATGGCCACTCAAATTCACTGGGGATGGGGCTGGAAATATATAATCCTCCTGTAGGAAGGACTTCAAACATTCATGAACAATGGTATATGTAGCAGGAATAGAAAGAAGATGCAAAAAAATTGTTCATTTTAACTCTGTTTACAAGGAGCTTTTTTAAAAAATGAGGATGCAGTATATATTTTTAGGAAAACTTTGGTATGCTTGTGGCCAGATCTTTTACATCAACTGGTACAATTAAAGCACCATCATTCATTTTTCACACTAACCATCTGTTATAGGTTGAATTATGTCCCCCCCCCCCAAATTCATATGTTGAAGCCCTAACCCCCAGTGCTTCAGAATGTGACCTTATTTGGGAATAGGGTCCTTGAAAATCTAATTAGTTAAGATGAGGTCATATTGCAGTAGGGTGGGCCCTCATCCAATATGACTGGTGGCCTTATAAGAGCTTAACTTGGGCTACACACACACACACACACACACACACACACACACACACACAGAAAACACCATGTGAATATGAAGGCAGAGATTGACGTGATGCTGCTACAAACCAAGGAACACCAAAGATTGTCAGCAAGCCACCAGAAGCCAGGAGAGAGGCATGGAACAGATTCTTACAACCCTCAGAAGAAAGCAGCCCCGTTAACATCTTGATCTGGACTTCTGGCCTCCAGAACTGTGAGACAATATATTTCTGTTGTTTAAGCCATCTAGTTTGTGGAACTTTGTTACAACAGCCCTAACAAAGTACTACATCATCTTTTTATAATTTATGTAACTCTTTCAATGATATTTCAGTGCACTTGAAACAGGAGACAAATAGTCTTTAGTGTGCCTAACAAAAATTAACAGTTAAATGCACTAGCTCTAGAATGCTCACTTCTTCAAGAAAAATGGCCAATGACTCAGACAGCCATATATAGGAACTGGAGAAAATGTGTTTACCTTGAAACTTCTTATTACCTTGAGCTTTCAGTTGCTCAGTAGGGATCATTGTACTTTTCAGAAGCTGTCCATGGTTCCCAAATAAGAAACTCATCCTTGAGTCTGATTTTGTCGCGTGAATAAAGTGGGGCTTATATGTCTTTTTTTGTTATATGTTTTCTTGGACCACAAGCAAGCCTTTCCCCTTGAGCCAAGTTAACAGGGATGAACGGGCATATGAGCCAAAACTATTTGCTTTCCAAAAACAGACACCTCCTAGAGCTTGCTAAAATGAAGGGGAGGGGCAGGATTTATCATAAAGATATAGGGCATTTCCCAGAATCAGGGGACTTACCTTAAGTGGTCCTTAGGAATAGGTGGACCGAGCTAACCAGCTCTGATCCTCAGTCTTTTCTTTCTCTCTGCAAACTGGCCTCCATCATCTCTCCACACACAGAGGGTCAGCCACTGCACATTTACATGTTTCCCCATTCCCGTGTTTCACTTCCAGCCACATGCAGAAGTTGACCCCTGTGTTATAATAGTTTCCTATTGTTGCTGTAACAAATTACTACAAACTTGGTAGTTTAAGACAACATAATGTATTATCTTACAGTTTTGGAGGTCAGAAGTCCAAGTGTTGGCAAGGGTTGCCTTCCTAATGGAGGCTCTTGGGGAGAATCTGTTTCTTTGCCTTTTCCGGTTTCTAGAGGCTGCCCACGTTCCTTCCTCCATCATCAAAGCCAGCAGTGTAGCACCTTCAGATCTCTCTGACTGACCTCTGCTTCTGTCATCACAGCTTCTCTGACCCTCCTGCCTCCCTCTTACACTTATCAAGACCCCTGTGATTACTTTGGGCCCACCGTGATAATTCAGGATAATCTTCCCCATCTCAAGATCCTCAATTTAATCACACCTTCAAGTCTCTTTTGCTGTGTAAGGTCACATATTCATAGGTCTAGGGATTAGGACATGGACAACTTTTGGGAAGGTCATGATTCTGCCTACCATACCCTCTCTCCCTCCATCCTGATTTCAAATTCTGGCAAGGGAGCATGGGATCTTCCTGGTTTGGGCTGTGTGTTTTCCTGGCCCAGTCAGGCCGGCCAAGACCAAAGCCAAGGAAGGGCAGGTCATGCTGACCTCCTGAGGAAGGGTCTCGATTTTGTTTTCTAATATAGCTCAGTGCCTACCGTAGCCTGGGGCTGGCACCCACTGGGTCTTCAATAAAGATTTCTGGACTGACAATGAAAAAGTGTTGAGGATAGCTTGTGGCTACGTGGATATGGGGGTGGTTGGGCCCAAACCTCCCTGCATTCTAGTCCCACTCTCTTACTTGTTCTCATTCCCTTTCTTACCTCTCTCTCTCTCTCTCTCTCTCTCTCTCTCTCTCTCTCTCTCTCTCTCTCTCTCTGAACAAAGCACACAGTGAAAAAGGAGGCAGTGAGGGCAGGATGTGTCACCACCATCCTCCAACATCACTGATTCCTGGGTTCATGACCTAACTCTTAAATTGCTTGTGATTTGGAGTGTCTATTAGGAGTACATTTCACTGCACGTATCAGAAAACATTACTAGAAGTGACTTCTTTGTTTCATAAAACAAGAAGCCCAAGGGAGGTAAGGCAGCTCGGTGTTGCAATTGGTGACAAGGCAGTTTCCATTTTGCAGTTCCACCACCATGAAGGTGTAAGATCTGTGTTGCCTCATGGTCCCAAGATAGCTGCTCTAACTCCAGATCTCACATCCCATTCCAGTCAGGAACAAGGGGGGAAGGATGAAGGAACAAAGGATTTTTTCTCTCAGTGTGGTTTTGCCTTTTCCTGTTTTTTTTTTTAAAAATTTTTCATTTTATTTATTTATGTTTAATTTTCAATCAAGTGTTGCCTTTCCTTTTCCACCAAGAGATGCCCTTTCCAAGGACTTAACCCCTGCATCTCAGTGACTGAAGGGGTCGCATGAGCAGCTGTGTTGTAACCCAGTAGTGTAGCTCTCTAGACTCTGGAAGAGTCAGGCTAGGGAGCAGGGCTTCAGCCTTCTTGCCTCTGGCCCCCACCCCACCCTCTGCAGGGAGAGACGGCCGTGCCCAACATCATGGAGTCGGCTTTCTACTTCGAACAGGCGGGGGTAGGCCTGAGCTCAGACGAGAGTTTCCGCATCTTCATGGCCCTGAAGCAGCTGGTGGAGCAGCAGCCCATCCACACCTGCCGCTTCTGGGGCAAGATCCTGGGGCTCGGCCGCAGCTACGTGGTGGCCGAGGTGGAGTTCCGGGAGGGCGAGGAGGAGTTTGAGGAGGAGGAGGTGGAGGAGACGACAGAGGGCGGCGAGGTCACGGATGCGCCCGGCGAGGAGGAGGGCGAGGAGGACGAGAAGGTTTCCGACATCATCCCCAAGCCGACGTGGAAGCCGCCGCCCGTCATCCCCAAAGAGGAGAACCGCATGGGCACCAACAAGTACCTGTATTTCGTGTGCAACGAGCCGGGCCAGCCGTGGACGCGACTGCCGCATGTCACGCCCATCCAGATCGTGCAGGCCCGCAAGATCAAGAAGTTCTTCACGGGCCACTTGGACGCGCCGGTCGTTAGCTACCCGCCCTTCCCGGGCAACGAGGCCAACTACCTGCGGGCCCAGATCGCCCGCATCTCCGCCGCCACGCACATCAGCCCGCTCGGCTTCTACCAGTTCGGCGAGGAGGAGGGCGACGAGGAGGAGGAGGGCGGCGCGGGGCGCGACTCCTACGAGGAGAACCCCGACTTTGAGGGCATCCCGGTACTCGAGCTGGTGGACTCCACGGCCAACTGGGTGCATCACACGCAGCACATCCTGCCGCAGGTGAGGACCAGGGACCCCAGCCCCCCACCTGTCGCAGAACCAGGTGGTTCAGGTGTGAGTCCCCAGTAATACCGAGCACGTGCTCCCTGCTAGCCTTTGTGCTAAATAACATTCATTCATTCATTCATTCATTCACCCATTCCTCATTCATTTGTTCATTTGCTCCTCATTCAGTCGTTCAACAGATATTGGTTGACAACCCCGTCAGAAACTTTTGGAGCCAGATAAATCTTGGGATTCTGAGTTTTTCAGACTTCAAAAAGGTGACACAGTGCGCATCCCATATATTATGCAACACCCCAAGCAGGGCTGTATTCAAAGGCGTTGTTATTTTGGCAGCAAAACTGCCAGAGCCTCTGGTCAGTCAGGTTAGAGGCGCTGCCAAATGACTCATGAAAAACTTCTCATTTTCAACGCTTTTTAGGTTTTGGACCTGTGGATAAGAGATGGTTGACCTGCATTTACTGAATGCCTAATGTGTCTGAACTCTATATACATTTATGTATTCATTCAAGGAAATATAATACTTGCTGTGTGTAGGGGCTTTTTATTCATTCATTCATTCAATAAACATTTATTGACTCTACAAGGTTTTATTGAATCCAAATAACTCCTGAGATCGGTACAGCTATCTTTGCCATCTCATAGTTGATGAAACTGAGGTCTGTGATATGCTGTGCACTTAGGTCCATTCATTTCTTCAACAGACATTTATCAGCTCTTCAGTATCTCATGTAACCCAACAACAATCCAATGAGAGAAGCACCTATGACCCCCCCCCCATTTCCCAGATGGGCAAAGAGAGGAGCCTATGGGCTGCCAAATGTCAGCTCCACAGGGCAGAGGTTTGGGTCTCTTTCCTGAAGGATGTGTCCCCAGCACCCACAGCAGTGCCTATATGTAGCAGGTGCTCATTAAATATCCGATAAATGAATGAATGAATGCACAGATGGGGGCCTCACAGCCAGCGGGAGGCAGGAATCCCCCCACCTCAGTGCACTGCTCTCTCGGCCCATTCCCCCCACCCCCCACCTGTGTGACTAACGCTGTCCTCCTGCCCATACCTGGGCTGCCAAGGACAGTCCCCAATGTCCTGCCTGGCTCTTCACTTCCTCCCAGGGTGCAGGCTGAGCTCTGTCCCTTGGGGGTGTCACCTAACTTTCTCTCCACCTCCAGGGCCGCTGCACTTGGGTGAACCCTTTGCAGAAGGTGGAGGAGGAGGAGGAGCTGGGGGAGGAGGAAGAGAAGGCTGATGAAGGGATAGAGGAGGTGGAGCAGGAGGTCGGCCCCCCGCTGCTGACGCCGCTGTCCGAAGATGCAGGTGACAGTCCTCCTCACCTCACACTGCCAGCCCAGGAAGGAGATGAGAAAGGGAGGGGCAGCGACACTGCGGGGGTCATCTCTGTGAGCCTCAGTTGTTCTCTCATCACCATGGTGCCTCCTCATGGGTTACGGGAAAGCATCCATCTTGTGAGTTGTGTCTGGCACATGGCATGGCCCAGATAGTGGATGTGGTCTTTTGAGTCCCATGTGAGCTTGAGGAAAGAGAAAGAGACAGGGAGGCCTCCCCAGAAGAGGCAGGACTTGAGCTGGATTTTGGAAGAAGAGATAGAAATTTCCTGAGGTTGGGGCCTCAAGCACCTGGAGTAAGGAGGAAGGAGAGGCTGAGACTGGGCGAGTGGACAGAGCCTGGATTTGGACCCAGTTTTCTGTGAACCCAGAGCCTGTGCCCTGTCCTTTGCCCGTTAGTCCAAACCGATGGCCAGCCAGAAGGAGAATCACAGCAACTGCCCTGTCTGGGGGTCTAGGGCTCACTGCCATCCTGCAAGGGAGGCAAGATTAGTATCCCCACTTCCTGGATGTGGTCATTGAGGCTCAGACAGGTGAGGTAGCTTCCGGGGGCCACACAGCGAGGAGTGGTCCGGAGCCAAGGTTCAAACACTGAAGCCTGTGCTGTTGGTCACCACAGTTCCCTTTATGGCCCTCCTCGTCTCGCCTCCTCGTCTCCCCTCTTTGCTCCCTCTCTTCCCTCCCCTCCAGAGGGCTATGCAGGGTGTGGGGAGCCAGCAGCGGAACCTCTGACCTCCCTGGTGCTCTTCACATCCCTGCAGAAATCATGCACATGTCACCCTGGACCGCCCACCTGTCCTGCAGCCTCTGCCCGCAGTACTCCGTGGCTATCGTGCGCTCCAATCTCTGGCCAGGGGCCTACGCCTACGCCACTGGCAAGTAGGTCTTCTCTGAGTCCTCCCAGCAGAGACAGCCCCTACAACTTCTTCAGAGCCAGGTTGGGTGGAGCAACTCCCCAGGGTGGGCAGAGACTGGGAGGACCCCCTTCAGGAAGCTCCCAGGGCTGACCCCCTCCTTCAGCTCCCAGGGGTTCCACTGGGGCTAAAATGAGAAACCCCAGAACAAGCGTGTGACCCCCTCAGATAAGACAATGGGGGATCAGAGAGGGGAAGGAACTGACCCAGGGTCACACAGCATGTGCAGGATTCAAACCTGGATCTCTGGCCCCCTGGCCCAGGCTTTTTTGATGTCTAGGTCATGGAGCCGACAGGACTCAGTTGCTCTCTTTGGTGTGGCCCTGACAGGAGTAGAGTCTCGTCCGTCTCTGGGGAAGCTAACTCCTTCCCTGAACTCCCTGGACAGTTCTTCCAATTTGAAGGGTCTTCTCTCTGTGGGCCAGAAATCTCCCCCACCAGTTGCTCCCCAAAGATTTGCAGGCCAAAGTCACTTTTGCATTGCCCCACCCACAGCTACGCACTGCCCACACTCCACCTCTCTGACCAGACACATCCCAGCCTTCCTGCTCAGCCACTAGAGGGCGCCGTCTGCAGCCATGGGGCGGGCGAACTTAACTAGCTCTGTCCAACAGATGGCACGATGATTTTTTAGATTTTCCTTTTCCATCTCAATGATGAACCTGCTCTGTATTTGCTACTATAATTCACGGTCGAGGTGGGATTTCATGTCATCTTGATGCTTTAACCACATACTTGGCCATTTTTGTCCTCCTCCAGAAGCAGGGAAGAGGCTCGCTTGCTTTTTGCCAACGCCCTGCTTCTGGCCACACCCTAACCTGCCAACATCTCTCTGAAGCCAAAGGATCCAAACTGGAAACTCCACTCACCCATCCATCCACCCTCCCATCCACCACCCAATCATTCATCCATCCATTCAGCCGTTCATCCATCCTTTTTTTTTTCTTCATAAAAGACTTGAATGTCACTGTTTGCAAGCTGTATGCTAGGCCCCAGGCCCTTTGTTGACAAGCAGATATGGATCCTGCCCTGGGAGCAGGCAGAGGAAACATAGGCATGAATTGTATAACACCCCTCACCCTCCTTCCCACTCCCCCCAGTCCTCCCTGCCCCCAATATCCTGTTACAAATGAAAATAAGTACCACCAGGGAGAGTGAAGGGACCAATGACAACTCATATCTGTCACATCTTGAGGGGATTAAGAAAGGATTCCTGGGAAAATCAGCCTTGATCTGAAATCTTTGGGGAAAGAAAGAAGTAAGTTGTGGGGGAGGAAGGTAGGCAGGACAGAAGAGCATCCCAAACTGTGAGTGCAAGGACTCCCTGGGGGATCTGGTTAAAGGGTGGGTCTGGGGTGGAGCCCAAGAGCCTGCCTTCCTAGCAAGCTCAACTTCCCGGGTGAGGCTGTGCGTTGCTGGACCACAGGAACCAGGCAGGCAGGAGTCGAGGAGCTTCTGAGGGAGCAATGTATTTGAAGTCTCAGAGGAAGACCTGGAGAAAATGATTCTTGATTCTCTCGGGAGCCAAACTGCTCCCATGGCAAACTCTCCATTCCCTTCCCCATCTCCCCCCAGCCTCTCCTGCTCTCTCTGTCTTTCTCCTGCTCTCTGCCTCTCTCCCTGCCTCTCAGTCCCCTGCCTATTCTCCCATTTACTCCTTTTTCCTTCTCTAGTTAAAATTCCGGGAGAGGTGAATTGACCAGGCCCAGCCAATTCTGTCGTTGTTATCATCTCCTCCCACTCGAGTGTAGGCACCAGACAGGGATTCTGGTCTAATTTGTTCACAGCTAGGTCCTCACATCTAGACCAGCACTGTCCAACATAAATAAAATACTAGTCACATATATCATTTTAAGTTTTCTAGTAGCCATGTTCAAAAAGTAAAAACAGGCAAAATTCATTTTAAGAATATGCTTTGTTTAACCCTAAATATCCATATCACTACAACATGAAATCAATAATATAAAATTTATTATTTTTTTGTTATTTGTTTTTTTAGCTGAGCCATCCTGCCACCTTTTGGCAGCTCAGCAGCAGCTCAGCTCGGGCCAGGCATTGAACCGTTGTTGCTCAGAGCTCAAACTCTTGAGCGAGCTCTTAAACAACTGAGCCACTTGGCCGGCTCCTAATAATATAAAAATTATTAACAAGCTATTTTACATTCCTTTTTTTTATACTATATCTTTGGAATCTGGTGTGAAATTTACATTTACAGCACATGTCAGTTTGGCTGCTAAATTTTTATCAGAAATGCTTGATCTATATTCAGATTTCACAACATTTACAATTGCAAAAGTAGACTCATGTGCCCAAATTGTCCCAGACATGCTTAGATGTTTTTAATACTGAACTGAGTATCAGTTTTATTGTTTAAATTTCAATTAACTAAAATGAAATAAAATCCACTCCACCCACAACAGCAGAATACGTATCCTTCTCAAGTGCACGTGGAACATTTTCCAAGATAGACCACACGCTAGGCCATAAAACAAGTCTCAATAAATTTAAAAGGATCGATCATACAAAATAAGTTTTCTGACCACACTGGAATGAAATTAGAAATTATAACATAAGGAAATTCACAGGTATGTAGAAATTAAACAGCACACTCCTAAATAACCAATGGGTCAAAGGAGAAATCACAAGCAAAATTAGAAAAGTCAATGAAATTAAGAATTCAGTGGTTTGGGCACACTAACGATGTTTCAAGTGCTCCGTAGCTGCATGTGCTCTTGGATAGTGCAGCTCTAGATGTGGCCTGGCACTTAGTAGATGCTCAGTAAATACGAAAGGACCAAATAATCAGAGGAACCTGGTGGACACACTTCACCCTACCATGCACAACTTTTTGGTCATGCCATGTCTATGTTGGGTCTCACCCTTAATGAAAGTCCAGGCGGGGGCCTTTGAGGGAAAATTTCCCAGTATGTCACTGCCCCTCCAGGAAGTTTGAGAACATGTACATCGGCTGGGGCCACAAGTACAGCCCAGAGAACTTCAACCCACCCCTGCCAGCCCCAATTCAGCAAGAGTACCCCATTGGCCCAGAGATCATGGAGATTAGCGACCCTACGGTGGAGGAGGAGCAGGCCCTCAAGGCTGCCCAGGAGCGGGCCCTGGCCACTGCAGAAGAAGAGGAGGAAGATGAGGAGGAAGATGAGGACGAGGACCTGGATGACTGAGGCCCCATAGCCCCCTTCCCCAAGCAGGTAGATAGCAGGTTTTCCCTTATGCATAGTGAGTTAAGTGTTGTTTTTCACTGTTGGTTATTTCTGTCCCTGGAGGGCATGGGTGGAAAAGGAAGGCAGCTACTCTAAATAAAACATCCCCCTGGCATTTCGGCCCAGTCACTCATTCATTTGCTCACCAATTTGTTGACCTGGCCTCAGAGTCAGGGTTACTGGATTCTGCTGGAAACACAGACATTGCCCAGCATAGTCTCTCCCATCTGTTTCATTTATTTTTTCATCTGGCCATCAAAAGACCACTGAAGTGCCTCCTGTCAGCCCAGCCCTCTGCTAGGGACACAGAAGTGACCAAGCAGCTCCAGCTCTGCTTTCCTGGGGCTCACACTCTACAGAGGAGACACATGCATCCCCAGGCAATGACAACCCAGATGGGGGAGCCCAGAGGACTGACAGAACCCCTGAGCTGACTCTTAAAGGATCAAGAGCAGAGTGGGGAAGGGCATTCCAAGCAGAGGGAACAGCATGTGCAAAGACCCAGGAGCAAGAGAGAATGTGATGTGCTGGGGTAGTTTTGCAAACCTCTTTTGGGGACGGTGTGGAGTTAGTGGTGAGAGATGAGGTTGGAAAGTGAGGTTGGCAGGAACAGATCATTCAGGGCTTTACTTTGCCCTGAGAACACTAGGGAGCCACAGATGGGCTTTGAGCAGGGGAGGGAGAGTCTGATCATATTTGGGCTTTAGAAAGACCTTGCTAGATGCCAAGTGGAGGATAGATAAGAGGTGAGATAGGAGTCTGGGAGAGCAGAGACAAAGCTGATGGGGGAGGGGGGGCGCAAGCAGGAGAGGAGTTTGGACCATGGCTGTACAGAGGAAGGGGCTGGAAAAGAGGACTTCAGGTGACAGAATCCAAGACTGGGGAATAGGGAACGGGGTGAAGGAAAATGGTACAAATTTAGGATGACACAGGTCTGCAGCCTGACTGACTGGTGGGGAATGGCAGTGCTGGCCCTAAGAATGGGACATAGGAAAGGGGTAGAATTTGGAGTAAGACTGTAGGACTTGTTGAGTGTGAGCTGCCTCTGAGATATTCCAGTGAGAAATCTGGGAGGCCACTCAATAAGTGGGTCTGGGAAGATCTGTGATGGGGTGGGTGGCTTCTGCAAAAGGCAGGAGCACTGGCTGTGTGTGGGGACTGTTGGAATCAGGAGATTTGGAGTTACTAGTGGATCATTGGACACAGGGGGTGTTGTGGGGACCACTGAAATTTTGGAATCAGAGGTGGGTGTTGGAGGACCGAGTGAGATTGTTGGAGATAGTGAAGTCATGGAGATATATGTTGGAGGTTGGTGGAAAATGTGGATATGTTTACGGGTTAACATTAATCAGTAGTGGTTCAGACGGAGTTTTATGGAGACGCGGGGATCAGTGAGATTTGGTGGATCATCAGCCATGGGGAAGAATGGCTAGAGATGCTGTGTCCACTTTGGGGGACATTAAAAATGTCAGTGGGAAACACTGGAGGTCAGGTGGGTGTATGTTGAGAGTATATGGAGACATTAGGCTCACCTTGGGTCGTCTGTGACGTCATGGGAAGGCCAGGATAGGAGCAAGGCCTTCTCTTGAGGGTCTCTCCGTTGCTAGGCAAACGGTTCCCAGGGCGCCGTTACCAGGTACTTGTGCTTCTTAAATACCACGCCCCTTTCCCTGTGGACCCCGCCCCCGCGGCCAACCACACGTCGGTCTCCAGGTACAAAGGCCGCGCCCACCTTTTCGCCCAGCCCAGTCCCCAGAACCGTTACCCGAGTGACGGCCGGGGCTCGTCCCGCCTCCCGACCCTGTTGCCTATCGAAGAGACGTCGCCCGGGCGACGATCCCACCTCTTCCGGCGCGAGTCCCGGCTTCCGGCAGGGGGCCCGGCGGCGGGCGGCGGTCCGGTAGCGGCGGGGCCCCGGGGGGCGCCCAAGATGGCGGCGGGCGGCGCGGAGGGCGGCTCGGGCCCCGGCGCCGCTATGGGGGACTGCGCGGAGATCAAGTCGCAGTTCCGCACCCGCGAGGGCTTCTACAAGCTGCTCCCTGGCGACGGCGCCGCTCGCAGGTCGGGTCCGGCTTCCACCCAGACCCCGGCGCCGCCCCAGCCGCCGCAGCCCCCGCCGGGCCCTGCCTCCGGCCCCGGCGCCGCGGGCCCTGCATCGTCCCCGCCGCCCGCAGGCCCCGGGCCCGCGCTGCCCGCCGTGCGCCTCAGCCTCGTGCGCCTCGGGGAGCCCGAAGGGGCCGGGGAGCCTCCCGCCACGCCCGCGGGGCTGGGGGCCGGAGGAGACCGCGTCTGCTTCAACTTGGGCCGCGAGCTCTATTTCTACCCGGGCTGCTGCCGCCGTGGGAGCCAACGGGTGAGCAGCCTGCATCGCGGGGTCCTGGGTGCTGGGAGGATGGGGTCCCTAGGTGATCCCAGAAATGTTAGGGTCCCCGAATTGGTGTGGGGCCCTGAGATAGTCATCCTAGATGTGATGGACACCCAGGGGGAAAGGGTTCTTGGCGGCAATGCAGGATTCTAAAAGGTGAGTGGAGGCCCCCCGGGTGCTGGGGCATCCTGGATCGGATGGGGAATCTTGAGATCATGAGGGATTCTCCGGTTATGCATGGGGGTTATAGGTTGATGAGTATTCTGGAGGTGATGGGGTACTGCAGATAATGTGGATCCTGCCGGGTTCTGGGTGGCAGGCATTCCGCAGGTGATGGGGAATCCTGAGGTGATGCAGAACCTAGGGGTATTGCAGTCTGGGGGTGTTGGGAGGTGGTCTTGAGATTTGGGCAGCCAGAGGTCAGGATTCAGGAAGGGATGGGGGGCTTAGAGGTAATCCCAGAGAAAATTGGGGTTATGGATGTAATGAGGCTCTTGGAGGAAATAATCTCTGAGCTGTTGGGAGGTCTGGAGATAATGAGAGCCCAGAGGGCACATACTCAGGTGTCTCTACAGCAATGTAGGTGCCAGAAGAAATGAGACCCTGGGAGTTTATGGTGATTCCCCAGAAGTGATGGGGATCCTGAGATCCTGAGAGCCCAGAAGAGATGATGGTATCTAAATGTGGGGGACCATGAGGTTTAATGGGTCCCCGAACTGTGATGGGCGTCCTGAAATGTAGGGACTCCCAAGTGAAGGGAATCCTGAAACATTGGGCTTTAGAATCCTGGGGATTTGGGTGAGCCTGCATTTGGGGGGGCTTGGAATATTGTGGTGCTGAGACCCGGGGGAATTGCTGAGCTTACAGAACAGGACTAGAAAGGCAGCAGCTCAGGGATTATGGGGACCCTGAACCCAGGTGCTGTGGAGGGGTCCAACTTCGGGGAGACGCTGTGGTCTTATGACAGGGGGTGGGAGGGGGAATCCTTTCTGTCTTTTGCTCTACGCTGTCTGAGATTTGGGTCCCTCTTCCTATTTGTGGTCGCGTTCTCCCCCACCCTCACCCATCCACCTACCCACTTCCCTCAGGGATTTAACCCTGCTTCCTCTTAGTGGTTTACCCCAACCTCAACACCCTCTTCCTTCCTCTCAGTGGTAGAAGCCATTAACTCCTTTTCTCCCACTACTCAAGTCGATTGACCTCAACAAGCCAATTGACAAGCGGATCTATAAGGGCACCCAGCCCACCTGCCATGACTTCAACCAGTTCACTGCTGCCACGGAGACCATCTCCCTGCTGGTGGGGTTCTCAGCCGGCCAGGTGCAGTACCTGGATCTCATCAAGAAGGACACCAGCAAGCTATTCAATGAAGAGGTGATTTGGGGCCCCCTTTTCACCCACCTGCACACTGTTTGCCATGAGACTGCAGCTACCTAGGGAGCAGTGTAGACCTGAGGGGGACAGGATGAGAGAGAGCAGGAGGATGGACTGACAGCTATGTGGGATGGGTGACAGCAACTAGTGTGATAGCAGCTAATTATGACACTAGCACCCACTGTGCCCAGGCCCTGTGCTGTGTTAGCTGTATGCTGAACACATTACTCCTGGAATTTTCATCAACCAATGGGTTAGGAATTGTGGTGCCCATTTTGCAGATCAGAGAATGGGGGCTGGTCACTGATTGGGACTTGTCTGAAGCCAGAGCCTCTACTCTTCAAATTCTGGGCCCTGTGGGCACTGGACTCAAATCCTTACTATACCATTTTACTCACAGTGTGACACTGAGAAAGTTACGGTGCCTTCCTGAGCCTCAGTTTCTTTACTTTGCAAAATGGAATTCTTACCCCTACCTCACTGAGGACTGTTGTAAAATCATGTGTGGAGATTGCTTGGTCCTGGGTGGACTTGGCATGAGAGAAATTGCCAGCAAGCAGCCTTATCCATGGGCAGGGTAACTACTCTTGTCCTGTGTCTCTTTCTCTGTTCAGAGGCAGTGTTCCATCTATACAGAGTGCGTGAATGGCAGAAGGGAGTGAGTGGAACAGTGAATGGATTAAAAATGTCCTAGCTCATCCATTTATAGAATATTTACTGAGCATCCATTCTGTGCCTGGCGTGTTCTCAGCACTGGGGATGTCTCCTCTCAGTGAACAAAACAGAGGGCCTACCTTTGTGGAGCTTTCATCCTGCTGGGGAGACGTTTATCAAATCAGTGAAGTGTGCTGTGTGTCAGAAGGTGCTGAGTGCTGTGGAGAAAAATCCAGCAGCGAGAAGGGATGGGGAGTGCTTGGTGAGGTGTAAATAGGGTGGTCAGGAAGGGCCTCCCTGGGAGGTGACATTGAAATGAAGACTTGAAGAAGACAAGGAGGGTTATCGGCGGAAGGACATTCTGAGAAGAGGGGACAGCTAGGACAAAAGCCCTGAAGCAGGACATGTGGCCAGAGCAGTTCTCGACAGGGAGAGTGGTAGGTGGGTTCTGAGACATCACTGGGAGGGGCCAGGTCATGTAGGCCTGGAAGGCCGTGGAAGAGACTTGGGCTTTTAGAGCCTCTTCCCTGGGTTCACCTGAGCCATAGACACAAAAATAGTTTGATTTGATTATTTTCTAAATTCTAAGAATGAGAAGCAACTTAGATAACCTGGGGAAGTCAGTTTATTCTTACAGTAGGTGCCTAAAGGCGCTGGGACCTAGCTCTGTCTGGAGCCCTGGTTGAGAAAGGCTGCCATGGTGTTCAGGGGGCAGGCACCACATGTCAACTCACATTTTTTTATTATTTTTTATTTTTAATTTTTTTTTAGCTGAGCCATCCTGCCACCTGTTGGCAGCTCAGCTGCTGCTCAGCGCGGGCCAGGACTCGAACAGCTGTTACTCAGAGCTCAAACTCTTGAGCGAGCTCTTAACTAACTGAGCCACTCGGTCGGCCCCCAACTCACATTTTAACAACAGCTCTCTGCAACTGTGTAGACAATGGACATGGGCAGTGGCGGCCTGATGGCCATTTAGGCTATTGCAGGGTTGATGGTGCTGGGACCAGGGTGGTTGGAGTCAGGTTGGGGGTGAGCATGTTCTGTGTACAATTGAAAAATTGGGTGTGAATTGTGCGGAGAAAAGCAGCACAGATGAGCAGTGGGTAGGATGGGGTTGTCACTCACGTGTCCAGGAAATACTTTCTAGGCGCCTTCTGTGCACAACTCTGCTCTGGGTCTAGAACAGTGAACAAAATAGACAAAGGTCTTTGGAGGAGCTGATGTCCTATGAATCAGTTTGTTGCCTTAAGCCTGACATAAAGATGGTGGGGGGCATTAGACAAATAGTTCTCTGGGAGGCAGGACTGTCCTCCAAGATGGGACATGGAGGTTCCACGGAGCCCCCATGGTCACTTTACAGGTAGCCTTTCCCCCACTGTGTTCCCATGCCCATTGGTTTCCCTAGAGTCGGGGCCTCTCTCCCAGGAAGCCTGGGCCACATTGGACAGCCTCCTGGAGAACCAGGTTGGTGAGGAGGCCTGCCAGGGACTGATTTCCTTCTCTCAACCCCCATGGTCTCCCCTGGCAGCGGCTGATCGACAAGACCAAGGTGACATATCTGAAGTGGCTGCCTGAGTCCGAGAGCCTGTTCCTGGCTTCACATGCCAGCGGCCACCTGTACCTGTACAATGTCAGCCACCCGTGTGCCTCGGCACCGCCCCAGTACAGCCTGCTGAAGCAGGGTGAGGGCTTCGCCGTCTACGCTGCCAAGAGCAAGGCACCCCGCAACCCACTGGCCAAGTGGGCGGTGGGTGAGGGGCCCCTCAATGAGTTCGCGTTCTCTCCTGACGGCCGGCACCTGGCCTGTGTCAGCCAGGACGGTTGCCTGCGCGTCTTCCACTTCGACTCCATGCTCCTGCGGGGGCTTATGAAGAGCTACTTTGGGGGCCTGCTCTGCGTGTGCTGGAGCCCCGATGGGCGCTACGTTGTGACGGGTGGTGAGGATGACCTGGTCACCGTGTGGTCCTTCACCGAGGGCCGCGTGGTGGCCCGTGGCCATGGCCACAAGTCCTGGGTCAATGCTGTAGCCTTTGACCCTTATACCACGAGGGCTGAGGAGGCAGCAGCCACCAGTGGCGATGGGGAACCTAGTGGCGAGGAAGAGGAGGAGGAGGAGGAGGCCGAGGCTGTGGGCCCAGGCTCGGGAGGGGGAGTCCCACTGTCCCCGATGCCCAAGGCCGGCTCCATCACCTACCGCTTTGGCTCAGCCGGCCAGGACACGCAGTTCTGCCTGTGGGACCTCACCGAAGACGTGCTTTACCCACACCCACCCTTGGCTCGCACCCGCACGCTCCCCAGCACCCCTGGCACCACACCACCTGTGGCCAGCAGCTCTCGGAGTGGCGAGCCAGGCCCTGGGCCCCTGCCACGCTCACTGTCCCGCTCTAACAGCCTCCCTCACCCGGCGGGCAGTGGCAAGGCGGGCGGCCCAGGCGCGGTGACGGAGCCAGGCACACCATTCAGCATTGGCCGCTTCGCCACACTCACGCTGCAGGAGCGGCGAGACCGGGTGGCCGAGAAGGAGCACAAGCGCTACCACAGCCTGGGCAACATCAGCCGGGGAGGCAGTGGGGGCAGCGGCAGCGGGGACAAGCCCAGCGGCCCCGTCCCCCGCAGCCGGCTGGACCCAGCCAAGGTGCTGGGCACGGCACTGTGTCCGCGCATCCATGAGGTCCCGCTGCTGGAGCCCCTGGTGTGCAAGAAGATTGCCCAGGAGCGGCTAACGGTCCTTCTGTTCCTGGAGGACTGCATCATCACTGCCTGCCAGGAGGGCCTCATCTGCACCTGGGCCCGGCCAGGCAAGGCGGTGAGTCGGCCACTCTGGCTAACCTGGGACCCAGGAAGAGGCAGGTGTTGGCAGAGGGCTTTGTCACTGTCACAGCCTCTAGCCCTGTGGGGTGAGGGGAAGCTGGCTGTGAAAATTGTAGGATCTCAGAAAAGCCCTCTCATATTAGAGTGAAAGGCTCCAGAACCCTTGGTGACAGCAGAGAGGGTCAGATAGAAGAGAGAGCTGGAAATGGTGGGAATCATAGCCAGCTGTCAGGCTGTGAATGAGCTCAGCATGGCCAGGTCTTACCACTTGTTACTTGAATCTGGATCTGTATTTCTATGGATAATACGATTTTTAAATGAATCTCTTTGGATATTGTGGGTCAACCTTTATGGGCAAGATTGAGCCTTGGGCCCAGGTTCCGGCGTGGGTCTGGACTGTTGGGGTCCGAACCCACTGTTGGAGGCACGGACTGTGGAATCCCAGGCTCAGGATCCAGTCCTGCACTGCCCCCTGTGTGACTTTGGGCAAGTCCCTGGTATCAGACCTCTGTCACCACTTAGGACAGGGAGGCTTGAAGATGAGTGGGGGGGATGCGCCCAGCTTCTGCGGTACCCTTGGGGTTCAGGAAAACCCTCATCGGTGGAGCACAGGCCTGGCACCTTGTAACTTTGGAGCTGTGGGCTCAGATGCCTGAGCTCCTCCAGGTCTGGGCTTGGGTGCCCAGATTCCAGGTCTCAGGGCCATGGCTTGGTTCGTCGGAAGAGCGGTTTTGGAATCATAGGGTCCTGTATCCGTAGAACTTACAGCACAGTCTCAGAGCCTCAGCAGTGGGGCATTGGGATTTGGGGAGTCTGGCAAGTCCTGAAGGAGACCCCTGTATCTCCCTAGTTCACAGACGAGGAGACCGAGGCCCAGACAGGGGAAGGAAGTTGGCCCAGGTCACCCAGCAAGTCAGTGGTAGAGGTAGGACTGTCCCTGAGTTCTTTCCCCCCAGAATCTCAGGACCCTTCCCTCAGTCAGAAGGGGACCCCAGTTTCCCTGTTCCTCCCCTCCTCCACCCCTACCCCATCCCCTCTACTCAGGATCACCTGAGGACTTTAATTATTGTATAAAAGTGCCGCCTGCTGAGACAAGGAAGCTAGCGGAGATGTAAGTTCCTGAGCCTAGAGCAGCGCCTCTGTTGGGGGGCGGGGTCTGGGCTGAACTGAAGGGCAAGGCCAGGGTGGCAGCAGCCTGCGGCTCCGGGCTGGCCGGAGCCCCAGGTGGTCTCTAACCCCTCTGTCTCCCCTCTCATCTTCCCCAGGGCATCTCCTCTCAAGCAGGCAATTCCCCAAGCGGCACAGTGGTGTGAAGCCATGGATGTCGGGGTCCCCCACCCCCACCCCGCCTCCTAGCCATAACCTTCCCTGCTGACCTCATGGATCAACGGATTAACAAGACTAACCATGACGGATGGACTGCTCCGGTCCCCCATCCTGCACAAATTTGGGGGCAGAGGGTCCCCAGACTGGCCCAGACCCTGGGGGGATGTAGTGGCCTGTGTGGCCTCAGCCTTGTCCCCACCCACTGCCAAGTACAATGACCCCTTCCTCTGAAACATCAGTGTTAGCCTCATTCCTGTCCCCAGCATGTGACTGGTCACTCCGGGGAGGGGAGAAGCTCCCCACTCACAAGAGCTCTGCCATGTGCCCCTCATTCGTGGGCAGGGCAGGGGTGACCCACCCCTCCCCTGGCCCTGCCCCCCCCCCTGCTGTTGTTTGTGCTTTTGAAGAGTGTTAAGTTATGGAAGCCCTTTGGGGCCCTCCCTGTCCCCCAGCACCTCTTATTTATACTAAAGCTCCCTGTTTTCACAGCGTAGCGTCTCTGTTCCCTTCTTGGCAATGTGGAGGAAGTATGTGTGTACTTTCACTGCGGTGCTAGATCAATCCACTTTAACCAAGGCCAAGCCCTGCCTCCCCCCACACTCACCCCTCCTGCCCCCTTTTAATAGGAAAAATGGAAGGCAGGAGGAGGGACATACTCAGGGCACCAGCCAGCCCTGAGCAGGTCCCCCTCTTCAGAGTCCTCATTGGGAGTTTTCAGAGTGAAAATGCCCAAACTGTCCAAATCCAAAATTACAGGGTCTCCCCAGATGGGGTCCCACAGGCAGCTCCCAAGGCCCAGAGTGAGTGGCCTTGAGCACAAGTCTTCACCTCCTGCTGTCTCGGGGCCTGGCTTGCCTGGCCTGCCAGAGACCATAGTTTCCTCCCGGAGAACTGTCCGTCCTGGAAAGGACAACGAGATCCCTCCTGGCTGGCTCTCCCTTTCCGCCCTCCACCCCCCGAAATGTTTCTGTTTCTAATCCTAGCCTGGGCAGGAATGTGGCTGCATGCCAGGGGCCAAGGAGCTATTTTGGGGGCTCCTTTGCCTCCCCCAGGCTTTGGCCAATGGGTCACCCCTGGTCCTGGCTCCTGAGGGCCTCCCTTCCCGATGCTCTCACCACCCCTTCCCCACCTCCTGCCAAAAAAAAGCGTCAAGCAGAGGGCCTGAGGGCTAAATTTAAACTGGCCCAAAGTCTGAATCTGGGGCTGAGTCACCCGCAAAGCTGTCCTGGCCTCCTGTCCCCCTTCCCAGGCCTCACCCCTTTCTCCTCCCCTCAACTCCAGGGCTTGGGAGGGGTGTTAACCAGGTAACTCTGGACCTCAATAGGCCCCTGCTGGGGAATGGGAGGGCTTGTTTGGTCTCTGTCACACCTGTAGCATTCCTCTGTGCTCCGCCTTTTTATGGGCTGGGTGTGTATTCCAGCGTGGAGATTCTCCACGCCCCTAATCCACAGGAAGCGCTCTGGGGGGCCTGGCTTATCAGGGGTTAAGGCAGGGAGGCGGGAGGGGGCCGGCCAAGGGGTGGGGAGAGAGGAGGAGGCCTTCGCAGCCCGCAAAGAGAAGTGGCCAGAGAGGCCCAGGGGACAGCCAGGGACAGGCCGACATGCGGCCAGGGCCCCAGGGCCTGGACAGGGGCTGCCAGGCCCCGTGACGGAGGACCCCGAGCCCCTGGCCCGGGGAGGGGCCATGGTGCTGCCTGCCCGACATGTCAGCCGAGGTGCGGCTGAGGCGGCTCCAGCAGCTGGTGCTGGACCCCAGCTTCCTGGGGCTGGAGCCCCTGCTCGACCTTCTCCTGGGCGTCCACCAGGAGCTGGGCGCCTCCGACCTGGCCCAGGACAAGTACGTGGCCGACTTCTTGCAGTGGGGTGAGTGCCTGCTGGCATGGGCTCCCCCACATTGGGAGGGTGAAGGCAGGGTAGAGGCAGGAGATGCAGTTGGGTAGCTTTTGGGGTGTCAGGATAGTCATGGGGAAAGCTGCTCATTCAGGGGCCCAGAGCTTGTACCTGGTTCCTGGGGTAACATGCCCCTACCCCTGTGCCACCCTGACCAGGCAGAGTGGGGTCAGCAGAGTCCAGGGCAGCCATGACTCAGAACCATGATTTGGGAGCCATGGTAGGCTAGGCTGGGAACAGTCTTTCATGGTGTCCCCCCTTGCATCTCCTTCCCAAAGTCTAGGCCTAGGGACATGCTGGGAGCCCCATCTCCTAGAACTCCTCCCCTCACCCCCCCCACACACACACCAAAATGGGCTCTGTGGCCTCCACCCTGGTTTTCCACAGCAGGGCTAACAGAAGGGATAGGATGGGGCAGCTGCCAGGGGTGCGGCCGACAGGCAGGTGTTCGGCGCCAGCCTCTTCAGCTGCCCCAACAGGTGCCCAGGCACTGGGAGGGTGCAGTGACTCAGGCTGGCCCTGGGGAAAAACCAGCTCTGCAGACCGGCACCACCCATCACCCACTCCACCCCTTGGATGAAGGACCCCTCCCCCATCATTCTTGGTCCCTCCTAGTCTGCATGGGTCAGCCTTAAACTCCCCTCCAGCTCCCCAGGTCCTTTCATTCTAGTTCATGACCTCCACCCTTCTGGCTGTCCCACAGAGCCCCTTCTTGCCAGGTCTTTTCCTGGAGACAGGTCCAGAGGGAAGATGCTACAACCTCAGCCTCCTGTGTTGAATGCGCCCATGCTCTCCTGGGCCAGGACTCAGGCTCACTCAAGTTTCTGTCTGACACCCTGCCACTGTACCTCTACTGATCTGTCCTTCAGTGACTTGCTCTTGGTCCTTAGGCTCTGTGTGTCCCTAGCTCTCTCCGTTCCTGTTTGCTCTCTCTGCCTTCTCCTGCTCCCTCTTTTCTCGTGTCCATCTCTTTGAGACTCAGGGCCTGCTCCTGTCCGTCTACCTCCCATTTTGAAGATAGGAAGGTGGAGGTCAAGGGCCAGGCCACTCAGCCTCTGGAAGAACCTTTTCCCCACTTCCCCCCAGCCCTTAGCAACTCTCTTAGCCCCCCTTTTGCAGTGGATGAAGTTTGGCTGGCAGGGTAAACTGAGACCGAAGTGGGGGCAGGGGTCTGGCTCGCCCCTGAGGAGCACTCCTTTTGTGGCCCGAGCAGCATCCTGCGGCCCCTCCCCTGTGGGCTGCCAGGGCGGGGGAGGGGGCCTGGGTTCCCGCTGCCTTAAAAGGGCTCAATATCTTGGCTCTCTCCTCCCTCCCCCGTCCTGGGCCCTGGCTGGTTCTTCCCTGCCGGCTCACGCTCCCCGAACCCCGTGGGGGCCCCTCTCTACCCTCGGTAACCCACTGTATCTCCCCTCATTCCTACTCGTACCATCCCTCTCTCCACTCTGCCCCCCCCCCCGAGGTCCCCAGCGACTTCTATCCCCAGGGGGGTCCAGACCTCCCTCTGTGTGTCCCTGAGTCTCCTACCTCCACTCCCGGCCTCCCCATTCCCAAACTGCCCTGTTTAACATTCCTAGCTGTAAGACCTTGGACAAATAACTTCACTTGTCTGAGCCTGGAGTCCCCATCTGTAAATAAGGGATAATAATAAGAGTGCTCCTCCTGGAGTTGAGAGGACAAAGAACACTTGAACCGGCCTGGAGCTCAGATGCAGTCACTCTCTCCTGGTTCTCTTGGCCCCCTGCCCCCAAATCCAGTGTTTCCCCAAAGTGTGCTCCAAGAGCCACCTGATTCTCTGAGCCTAGAGGCACTGGATAAAACTGCATGTTCCAAGACAGACTGGACGAGAGAAGCCTGGAGTGGGCCAGCCTCTCCCCATCACTCTGAGTGGGGGTGGCGGCCTGAAGCCCAAGGAGTTCTGGGCCTATTCTTCCTGCGTTCTTTAGGGCCTCCTTTCTGTAGACGTGCCTTCCTCCCCACCATCCTGCTCCCACAAATCCCTCTGGCCCAATGCCTTGTTCAAAAAAGGGGTTCCCAGGTATCCCACCTCTCTCTGTAGGAGGGCTGTTTTGTGTTCACAAAACCTCACACAGTGTGTGGGAAGCCTTTGGGAAGCAGACAGTCTTAAAGGGAGGGGCAGAGGAAAGGAGACATTGAAACTGAGGGACAGAGAAAGGGGAAGACGGAAAGACAGGAGAGAACGATGGGCAGGGAGACTGGGGGATAGAGGGTGGGACTTCCTCTTCTCCAGAATCAGTCCAAGTGACCCTTGGTTCTCATTGCCCCCCGCCCCCCAGTGGAGCCCATCGCGACAAGGCTTAAGGAGGTCCGGCTGCAGAGGGAAGATTTCGAGATTCTAAAGGTGATCGGACGCGGGGCGTTCAGTGAGGTGAGCCCTGAGCCGCGGAGGTTGCTCCGCCTGGTGGGAGCCTCGACTTTTCGTGCCTTGGAAGGGAGGGAGGAGTTTGGGGCGGGGCCTTAGAAATTGATGAATGAGTTTAGAACCTAAGACCAGCAGGGGAAGGGGCGGGACTTGAGACCAGTGGGCGTGGTGTGGATGGTGGGCGGGGTTTAGGGTGGGGCGCTGTATGAGCCAGCCTGTTGGCGCCTCGCCACCCCTGCTCTAGTCACCCCGTTTCAACCTCCAGGTAGCGGTGGTGAAGATGAAGCAGACCAGCCAGGTGTACGCCATGAAGATCATGAATAAGTGGGACATGCTGAAGAGAGGCGAGGTGAGGCACAGGGCTGGATGTGCAGGTCGCTGAGCTCCCCCAACCTCTTCAACCTCCCCACAAGCTCCCCCAACCACTTCAGCTTCTCCCATGCCTCGCAGGTGTCATGCTTCCGCGAAGAGAGGGATGTGTTAGTGAACGGGGACCGGCGCTGGATCACACAGCTGCATTTCGCCTTCCAGGACGAGAACTACCTGGTGAGCTCCAGGCCGGGTGACTAGAAAAACGGACCCCCATCCCTGAGGCTATCAATTAACGAGGTGGGGTCAGGGAGAGGAAGTCCTAGGGTGGGGGAGCTGCCTCGAAATGCCCGTGGGAATCTGTGTGGCAGGAACGGGCTTTCTTTCTCAGGATGGTAGATGTCCCTTACCACCTTTTTTCCGGGCTGATTCTGGGGGGCTATGCAAAGCTGCCGCCGCCAGGGGATTCTTACCTGGAATGGGAGAGCTCTATAGAGTCTGTGTGTGGGCCACTGGGCAGGGGGTATCTGGGCTATACACTCTGGGCATTGGGAGGTCTCTGGGTTCTTTTTCCCTTTCTCTGTGTGTGTGTGTGTGTGGGGGGTACAAGTGAATCTCTGCCCAGTGACATCCTGGGAGAATTGGGGGCGTTTTTTGGTGGATTTATCAGATTTGGCCTGGGAGATCTCTGGGGCTCTCTCGGTGCTGGGACTGCGGGGTCTCTCTGCCCAGGGATGGGGCGTCTCTGGGAGCCTTTGTCACAGGCTATCAGCAATAGGCATCTAGGGGGCCTACCGACTCTCCATGACACGCCCCCTCCCAGTACCTGGTCATGGAGTACTACGTGGGCGGGGACCTGCTGACGCTGCTGAGCAAGTTTGGGGAGCGGATCCCGGCCGAGATGGCGCGCTTC